CCTTTTAGGCTATATACGGGATTTTTCTGGGCTGGAGGGTGAGGGCGGGGAATTTAAAATCCCCACCGGCACCGGGATGCGAACTCGTACTTTTCATTCAATCTTCTCAAATCTCTTATCTGGTTGCCAGGCAACTCGCGGTGCAGTGCACACGCTTTAGCCCATTTGGCCACCCCGCCCCCTAAGACAAAGACTTCGACTTATGAAAATTATTGAGGGCCAAACTATAAGATAACAGGGGGAAGGATCTGGGAGACTAATACATAATATATGTGCTATATCTTATCTCCACAAAACGGATGACACAAAAATTGCTACGTTTTGGGGTGTTTAATTTTATTCGGGATGCCACTGGATAATTATTGATGATAATTGCCCAGAATGTTTAATACAAATTAATTATAAAAAATAGTAAAATAAATTTGGATCTATAATATATTTCGTCCATGATTAATTAATTGGATTTCATTTCTCAAAGGCTGATTTGTGTTTATCATGCTTTCTAATTACCTACATTACATGTCATCATCATGATATAAATAGATAGCATGATTAAAATAACTTTTACTAAAAAAATTAATTTATTTCTATGTTTAATAAAGAATATATATAAATTATATTTACAAGAATAAAATAGGTTATTCAATGAAATTAATACTTAACTGTGAAGGCATGATTTCAGATAGACTGTTTTGAGAAATATTCTAACATTGGGAAATTTATTGTTGGGAATAACACTTATCTATTGTATATGAAGTGGTGTAGTTGGTAGATTTCATCACTGCATTTGCTAAATTGAGATCATCTCGACACGGTTCAAAGCTCTGCCAGGATCATCATGGTCTATTTAGGGCCAAGGCTTCAGTCCCCAAGCCGGAAGAAAGTATAAGACTAATCCTCAAGGCCGGAACTCAACATAAGACCTATCCTCAAGGCCGGACATCATCATAAGACATTTCCTCCATGCCGGGGATCGACATAAGAGCCCTGTTCTTCCTTCTCGGTAGATTTTATAAAAATATTCAGGGTTGGGCAAGGATGGTTTCCATTGGTTCTTAACTTCACCCTATTACTTTATAATCACTGGTAACACCCTAAGAGGAACCAGTTACTTAGCCCGTTACTAGTTTTTACTCTAAGCCTTCCCGACTGGTCCAGGTACAGGTCGGTCTACCTGCCCTACCCCTTGACGCTGGTTTTGATGTCAGAAGTCGGTTTCGTTATGTCATGGCCTTGATTTAGTAAATTTTAAATACTTTTTTTTCAAACTTAAAAAAGAATTTTTAAGTTTACATTTAGTAAGAAAATTTCGTTTAATTTTCTTGAAAACATGTGATTTACGTTAAATAATGTTAGTTTTCTGAAATTATCATTTATATTGTTTTCGTCATTCTCCGTTACCTTCCTCAACTTTATTTATATGATATTATGTTTTCTAAAATTCTACGCTTGCCAACGATATATTTACATATTCTTTCTGACTGTTATTTCCGGAGATTCATTTTCTATCTGGATGATCATTTTTCTTTCTTTCTCCATTATTCAATTATCAAATTCTTTCAAAAGTTATATTTAGTATTGTTTCGTAATTGCTAACAATGAGAAATCGATAATTATTTAAAATAAACCAAATTAAAGGTATTTTAGAGGAAGAAATGTGGACATTGTGCATTTAAGCCCTGTAAAGTGACATCATTGGGAATAATGTAAATGGTATTAAACACCACTTAATTTACAACGATACACCGAGTTAAATCAAAATTTTTAGAGCCATTTTGAGAAAATTGTAAAAATGTGTATCACCTTTGATATAAGACTTCCGGTAAGTCGATTTCAAGAAAAAAGTTGCTGCAACATCTCAGTGATATACCTATCTTAAATACTCAATGTCAGTTTCGTGCGACTTTTCGTTTTTGAGTTGGACTGTTCACATACAAACAAACACAGAAGATTTTGTGGGATTTGGTTATTAGGACTTAGTTGATCTCAAAACGTGTATTTCAGTTGAAAAGTCAGATTCAATAATTTTCACGATCGCAATTTTTTCTCTTACTATAAATTACATATATAGGTAAATGAAGGTAAAAAAAAAAAAAAATGGATCGGAATTGTTTCAGACCACTTTCTAGGCACCGGTATTGGTACTGCTACTAGCAGAACTTAGAAAAGAATCTATGGTGTTTGAGATGGAACGCCATGCAAATACTATTTTCTATGTTACTATTTCACATCCTTGAATAATAATTCAGCGAAATATATCAATATTATGGATTTTTACCATTAATCTGACATTTTCAAATACGCACAAATTTGCTCAATATAAACGTGTGTTAAGGAAATGAAAACAATTTTCTTGATAAAATTAAATAATAATTGCATTAACCAACTTAAAAATCAATCCATCAGTACGCTCGAAACTCGATACATACCTACTAGCAAATTGATCACATTTAATTCAATAACGAGTCAGTATTTTTGGTTCTAATTGTTTACCGACTGGAGATCTCACCGAATAATATGAGCCATCAAACTTCTTAAAAATTGATTTATCCATTCGCTCGGAAAATCGTTACATACCTCTTAGTGGACAACCCAAAAAATAACACTCATGTCGCTTTGCTTTCAAAATCGATCACCCCTTTACGAGATAAAAAGAGAGAAGTGAATGAAAATTTGCATACTATTTTATCTTTTAGCATATGTTCAAACAGTGTGAAAATAGTTTGACTCGTAAAAAATCGATCCTCAGTTCATGAAAATTCGGAAAATTATCACTTTTTCAATTTAACCTACCTCTAAACTGAATGAAAATGATTTGAAAAGTGAATAAGCTTTCGTTCTAGAGATAAAAGAGGAAAAGTGGGATGAAAAGAGGGAAAATTTTTCCCTTTTTAGCCGACCTCTAAAATAGTCAGAAAATAGTTTGGGCGATAAACAACGTATCACCCGATCGTGAAATAAAATAGGAAAAGTACAAGAAAGTTCAGAAAAGTTTCACTCTTTTTCATCGTAGCCTACCTCTGTTGAAAAACAGATTTGAATCACATAAAACAGGTCACCCATTCAAGAGGTGTAAGAGGAAAAGGGAATGAAATTGCTTACAATTTTCTTTATTTCAGCCTATAAATAGTTGGGAAATATTTTGAACCACAAAAGACTGTCCACTTTTCGCGTGATATAAGAATTTTTTGTGTGGAAGTTATTAAAATTTTCTTATTTATAATGGATTAGTCTTATTTAATTATGGATGTTGTCACGTTGTAGGAATTGCTGTCTTCAGAAGAAGAGGCTATCAAATATTTTCAAGACGCCAGGATATATGTTGCAATGTTTTCCTAATGGTTTTTAGTTATATATGTATAATGTTTTGATCTATTTATATATATCTTGTAAAATAAAAGTATTTTTTTATTATTAATTTGTTTTTGTTCACAATTTCAATAATATCAATACAATACAATAAATATGAATACGAAGATATAATTATATGAATATAATATAATAAATATGAATAGTGGCTTATCAGATTTATCAGTGTTAAGGTTATAAACATTGCTGGATAGCAGTCCAATGCTACCCACTATTATACAAGTACCAAATTTTCCTATAAATGTTTTTTTACTAGAATAAAATATATATTCTAAATAATAGATAATTCAGATTTTCTCTAAATAAGAAATGAAGGATAAAAATTGTTATTGTGATTATACCTGAATGTGAGAATATGCTAATTATATTACACGCAGTAGTATATTTATTTTTTGTTTTGGATTAAATATTTTCCAGTACATCTGTTTATTATATACTAAGCTCTCTCTGTCACCTTACAGGCACCCCAATTCAATACATTATTAAGGCATCACAGAGTATTTGTAATCGCGTCTAATGATAACAATTATTTGTCCTGTCTCCTGTATAAATTAACTGGTGGTAGACCAATAATGTTCCATTTTTTTCCGTATTGTTTGTGTTTGTTGTGATAACGATTAAATCTAACCCAATCCAATCTAAAAGAAAGATTAATGGAACTTCTGGCATGATAACATTATTGCTTGATTTAATTTAACCTAGTACTTTGACCATGTTTGAATAAATCTTAGTTACACAAATCAAGCAGTGTACTCAAAAATTTGAGAGACTGTTAGTTATGATCAAGATATCACAGACTGTAAATAATTTAGTAGAAATTGACTGGGGACGCAGTCAAAGGTGAAAGTCCACAAATAAATTATTTTCTTTCTACCCTTTTTAAGATTAAGAGCTTCCATCACAAAGACAAGTTACCCAATAAGAAAGGGAAATCAAACAAATAAACAAGAAAATTAAAAGATAAAATGATATTTTATCAACTAAAAATAATATTTGATCCACATCATAAATGCTAAGATGTGGATCAAAATTTTATTTTACACAGTATAATTTTGATTATTATCTAACTATTTATTTATTAGTAAATAATATATCGTTTATCCTACCATTTTATATTCTCATATTTTTTTTAACTTAAACTTTGGTAATAAACATTTTGTTTCTATCAATTATTCACAAAACCAAACTAAGAAAACAATTTAATAACTAAAGCAACATATTTCAGAATGTTACCATCATGGTATAATTTGGAAAGAACAAAATAAAAATATAAGACTGGTAGATAAATAGATAATAAATTTATAGTTTAATTTTTACAAATCAATTAACAATAGCACCCAAATTAATTAAACAAGAAAAATTTTTTCGATATTTTAATGTTAAAAAATAGCCATCAATAGGTAAAAACAAAACGGCAATGGGTTTTAGTAACAATTCTCCAGCTCGACGGAATACTCCATTCATACCACAGGTTAATTATTTAGAATTTTTTTTTTTTTCTCTTTCATTTACCCTTTTTTTAGGAAAAAAAATTTTATTACAAAAAAAAAATTTATTAACAATTTATTACTCCACATACAAAATATAAGATTAAGTTAATGAATTATTATCAACACTATGTGTGTGGCTTATTATACTGGTTTGTAATCGAGTTTTGACTCAAGTTTCTTATTGTCAGCCACTTTTCTCACAGCTTTCATAAAGTCTTCCTGCATTACATATTCTCTTTCAGCTCGAATAGCAAAAAGGCCAGCTTCAGTACAAACATTTCTCAAGTCAGCTCCATTGAAATTATCAGACAACTTCACGACAGCCTCATAATCTGGAATAAAAGATACACAATTACTAATGAAAGGATAAAAATCAAGGTGATTCTTAAAATAAGTGCGAAGAAATTTCATCAACATCTTACGATGATAAGAGTATTCTAAATTAAATAAAATAGATAAGAAATATTTGTTTTATAAAAACTAGATATTTAAGATACAAGTAGATTATCTTTAAAAATATCTTCTTCATATACACTTGACACTCAATAATTTTAATTCATATCCTAAGTAAAATTAAAATTTTAATCTTTAATTAATATTTGTGGAAGAGTTGGTTTGATAGCATTTCATTCTTCTATCGATGCAGGTACCATCTTCAGCAATTCGATAGGTAATCATGGAGAACATATTTTCTGTCGTTTTGTAATATTTCACATTTCTCAAACCAACAAAAGCTTTTTAATTTCAATTAGGCAAAACTTCACGCAATTAAAAATTAACAAGTGGCTAATCCCAATAAATATTTAAATCAGATTTACACGAAGCTGCTCTAGAAGACTTACGGTGGAACCCGATATAATAATAAAATTAAAAATAATAGTCTGTAATACTGACTCCTTTTTATCAAATTATCAACATTCGTCCAAAACTTTGTGAATGGTTTCATGTTATCATATCCTCAAACTTTTTTATCTATAAAAATTCTTAGAAACAGGATGTTTTTTCATAACTATAATTAATTTAATGAGGACCTAAAGACTCAGGATTACTATATTGCTTTCCACTAGAATTGTAAGAAAATGTGATCATAAAATAGAAAAAAAAGGTGACCTACAAAAATATTGGGCCTTTTGACTTATATAACCTCCTTATTTTGAAATGTGAAAAAGAGGTGGAGTTCCCGCCCAATGGCCCAATATTTTTGTAGGTCACCTTTTTCTCAATTTTGTGATCAAATTATCTTATAATTCAAGTGGAAAGCAAATGGGTATTCATGAGTTTTTATTATCTCATTAAATAGACAAAGTTAACCGATCGCCAGATTGAAAATGCCCTGTTTCCGAAAATTTTCATAAATAAAAAAGTTGTTGGTTATGATAAGATGGAGCCATTCATGAAGGTTTAGAAGGATGTTAATAATGTTATAGAAAAGGGTCTTTACCACAGGCCCACAGACTGGTTTATAGTCTGTAATAGAAAAAAATAACCAGTGATAAAATAATTGATACCAAAATTAGCATTAAAGTAAATATCAGAACAAACAACACTCACCAATATCTCCATGCTTAGAAATAGGCCCAGCATGGATCTTGAGGATTTCTAGCCTTGCCTGTTCATTTGGCAAAGGAATTTCAATCTTCCTGTCTAGCCTGCCAGGACGGAGAAGAGCAGGGTCTAAGGTATCGGGACGATTAGTGGCCATGATCATTTTAACCTGAATTAATATTAAAAATAAATTATTATACAACCAGTAGCGCGCGCAAACATTTATTTATTATTGGTTACTAAGATTGTAAACATATTTTTATAATTAATTAAATCTTTATTAAACACTAACTCAACAAGTCACGAATAAATCAGGAACAATTGTCTAGACAAGGTAGCCTCAACTACAGATAATTATGAAAAAAATGCTAAACAGAATACCTGGTGGACAGGCAAAAAGATTTATAGTAATTAAATATCCAAATACTAAAACTAAAGCATACACGAGAATACTCAGGAGTTTAAAAATGAATGGTTCAATTATTTATTCAACCCCTTAAATAATAAGTGGTTCAAATGATTTTAAAATATACAGAAAATATCGTCCATTCATTGTGAAAAGTTATTAACCCAACAGAGGTGCGATATATTGTTTCTAAACAAGAACTTCTGTGTCATGCGGTTTGATGAATGTTAAAGGACACAGAAAACATTGGGGTTTTATAATTAATGCTGTTTTATTTTTTTTATATCTATATGTTGTTTCAGTTATTTAGTTATATATGTTAAACTACATATGTGAAAGAATAGTGAAATGTAAATGTTCAAGTCAAATGAATTTACAAAACAAAGATAATTAAAAGATGGAAGAAGACCAAAATATCAGCATCAAACCATTGCCATCACCTGCTGATACAATGCCAGGAAATTTTCAGTTATATCAGCTGCTTTAAATGATACTAAGGAATATATTCCTGAACTTCACAGAATAAACAATTGATGACAAATTTTATCATGATTTCATCAAGTAGTGTGAAAGTGACTAAGGCTCATGGAATCACCCTACCTCAGAATCAATGAAATTCTATCCTTTCTGAATGAAACGTAGATTGTTCCACAAGGAATTAAGGATTAAGGAAACATAAATCGAGTACAAACATTACTGTCCACCATGTATAACTTCATTATTCACTTAAAGAAGCATATTAAATGCTTTATGTACCTGTCCCAGAGAATCAAATCCATCCATTTGGTTAAGAAGTTCCATAAGAGTTCTTTGTATTTCACGATCAGCAGATGTTCCTTCTGAGAATCGTCGACCTCCTACAGAATGAATGCAAACCTTTTTAAAATAATAATAATATAAGAGGTAATAATAATAAGGCTTAGCGAGCCCGAAGGTTCTTTGCCAATACCATCAATCACTGTGTATACATTCTCCTATCCACAGGGCAGTACTGTTCAAACCCAATCCTACCAGATTAGCTTTAATGCAATCTTCCCACCTTCATTTCGGTCTACCCATCAGACACTTGCCAGTTGACACAGCGCATATAACTTTTTAGGAATTCTGTCGTTAATAAGCTGCTATGTATTGAACATTGCCTAATGGTAACTAATAATATTTAAAAATAATATCTAACACCTGGGCGGGTACATGAAACCCCCGACCCAACCTTTTGTAAGTGGCAAGAAAACAACTAAGAACCCCAAAGGATCGACACCCAAGAACCGTCATCATAATTACGTGGGAAAGTGGTTACCTAGATAGTGGTCGGGATACCTGAGACACAGAAACCTTTTAGCAGGGACTAAAACACTTGAGGACAACATTGGTCAAAAACAGCAAAGGATCAGTCTTGTGTTTACAGAGGACCAAAAAGTTTTGAAGCCTAAGCAAAGGAAGAAACGGTCGTGTACCTGCTAAAAAGGGTGTGTTCAACATAACACTGGGGGTGTGGTCATCCCTTCTGCTACACAACTCCAACCAATAGGAACCATGCTTGTCCCACCCTAGATATGGAAAACAAGATCTACTGAGGGGGATAGAAAAAAAGCGAGGACACTTCTTTTTGGGACTCAGCTGAGGACAGCTGGATGAGGGGCTTTTTGGGCTTACGCACTGCCCGGCATAGAGAAGAGGTCTTATGCGACTGCACGACCTAGACGAGAGGTCTGATGTAGCTGCCCGGCCCTGAGGAGGTCCCTGATGTTTTCTTCTAGCTGGAGGACTGAAACATTACCCATGACTTCGCAGATGCAGCCATGCCATACACCACTTCAAATAACATATTAGATAAGTAATTCCCAATAATTCCTGTAAAGATGTTTAAATATTTAATGGCAATGTAATTTTAAATTCCATCCATCTGAATCATGCCATCACAACCAATTGTTTGGTTCATTAAATTTTGTAAATAGAATGTATATACAAATTCTTTCTCATATCACTTGTAAATAAATATAATTTGAACATAAAAGTTATTTTAATCATGCCACCTATTTCTTTCATTATAAGCAGAGGTAATGTTTGGTAATTAGAGAACAGATAAACACACAACAAGCCTTTGTGAGAAGTAATCCAATAAATTAATCAAGGACCAATATGTCAAATGACATAATTTGTTTAGTTAATATTTTATAAATTAATTCTGGATAATTATCCTCAATAATTACCAGTGGCATCCCGTTATATAAAAAAAATCTATATAACACCATTTGATAGTAGCAAAGCACAATTATAGAGGTAATAACATAAAATTGAATTTGCCTGCATATCCATATAAATAATATATAGAAATCCTTCTAGTCACGATAAATACTTTGTTTTAATTACTTACGAAATAAAGAGAAATGTAAATGATCATTCCATGAACATCAAAGAAATATTAGAAGCTATTCAATATTATGTTAAAATTTAGTAATTTCATTTGTATCTTTAATGTAATGTTTAATGTTATTGAACAATCTTTGAATTTATTACAAATACTCAGAAGATTGATTGCTGAGGAGATGGATAAATAAATTTTGTTAAAATGAGGTCAAGGATGAGGATTTGTGTATGGAGGTTAGTAGGGAATTCCAAAACAAGGTAGCACGTATGGCAAAGGATTTTTTAACGGATACAGTTCTGTGATAGGGAATAAACTGGTTAGAGGGCTGGGATCTGGTGTTGAAAAAATGGACAGAGGAACAAGGAGTAAACAAATTGAGAAGGTAAGAGGGTTTTTTTGGTTGAAAAAGGAGTACACCTAGGAAGTATTGCCGTCGGAAGACTGGATAGAGCCACTTCAACTCAGCATACCAACTGGAGACGTGGGAGCGCCTGTTGAATTCAATAGTAGGTTAACTGTTTACCTGAATTTCAGTGACTCAGGGCTTTATGTTAGAAATTTTAAAACTATATTAATTTTAAATAGCGATGTCGAAAAGAGGACGGACATAAGGTTATCATGATCGAACAGGCCTCGGACCTCGATATATTTACCTGACTACACAGAATTCGTCTACCCTCCATCCTTATCAAAATAACTACTGACGAAATTCCCTTCGAAGAAAGATTTTCGCTTTTAGTTGTATTTCTTTACTTCCACATATTAGCCTATGTATTATTTACTATATGCTTTCTATTTTTTGTTTCTTTAAACACTTTCTTTTTTCTCATTTTCATTAATTTTAATAGCTTTTCTGTATTTTTTATTTGTTTTAGTGTTTCTCTACTGAACTCTGACTGTCTCCTTCCAAATACTTCTCATGTCTAGTACCCTAATCACCTGCCATGTTAACTCTCAATCCCTCCCCGCGCACTATGACGAATTCCTGCAATATTTCACTCAAAATTTTTACCATATTATAGCTATCTCCGAAACTTGGCTCAAACCTTATATCCCATCCTCTTCTGTCTCCCTGCCTAATTACAACCTCTTCCGTCATGACCGGGTAAGCCGGACTGGCGGTGGAGTAGCCATATATGTCCACAATAGCCTGAAGACCCGAATACTCGATTTATCCCCATCTTCCAACCACCCACAAATTGAATACCTATTAGTTGAAATCCTTTGTAATACTTCTCCTCTCCTCTACGCTGTGGTATACCGTCCTCCTCTTGTTCCATTTCACACGTCCTTTGAATCTACCCTATTGAATTTCGTTCCCCTCTATCCCAGAATAATCATCTCAGGTGACCTCAATACCAATTTCCTATTTAACTCCAATGACAAATCCTATCTAGAAGACCTATTCTTCTCCCTTCACCTCTTTATCGTTCCTTTTTCTCCCACTCACCATACTAGCAGGTCCGACACTTGGATAGATTTCTATATTATAGACTCTGCACAAAACCTCCTCTCCTCTTCACAACTGCCAGTATCCTTTTTGTCATCTCACGATCTGATACAAATAACATATAATATCCAAACTCCTCCTATTCAGCCTCGAACTATCACCTTCCGCCATCTAGATTCCCTTACACGAGAACAAATATTACCTGACCTGGAAATCCTAGATTGGAATAAAATATATTCTTGCACTTCTATCGACTCTATGGTCGATATTCTTACTACCAATCTCCTCAATATCCTCAATACCCATGCCCCTCTCAAAACCTCTACATTTCGTCACCGGCCTGCTCCTTGGATGTGTCAGGAAATTAAAGACCTGCAGAAGAGGCGCGACGCTGCTCGTAGACGCTTCAGACGTACTAGGCTTGCAGATGACTACCAAGCGTTCAGGGTGCTTCGCAACTTGACACAAACAAGGATCCGGCGTGCGAAGTCCCTCTACTTCCACGAAGCCCTTTCCTCAACTCCTGACATAAAATCAAAATGGCGACTGCTTCGTAAACTCTCCCTTTGTGATCCTTCCCGATCCCCTACTCCAGCCTTTCCAATATCCCCTGATGATCTAAACTCGCATTTTATATCTGTTGCTAATACCTCTCCTTTATCCTCCTGTTCCGACTTCCCAATAGAGATACCATTTAACGACAATAACTTTTATTTTTCCGACATTTCCCCTACAGACCTTTTAACCGCTGTAATGAAATCCCACACCAATTCCATAGGACCGGACGGCATCCCTGTCAAACTAATAAAACTATGTCTTTCTGAAATCCTCCCAGTCCTTCTTTTCATCTACAATTTCTCCCTTCAGAATTCAGTATTCCCTACATCGTGGAAACAAGCCATTGTCCTTCCTTTAAATAAAAATTCTAATCCGACCTCACCCGAAGATTTCCGCCCAATCTCAATTCTTTCCAACCTCTCGAAACCCCTAGAAAGATTGGTGCAATCCCAAGTCTCCAACTTCCTTGAAAAGTCCAACCAACTTGATCCTCTCCAATCTGGTTTCCGTCCCAGCTACTCCACACAATCCGCCTTAATTAAAATCACCAACGACATTCAAACTGCAATAGATGATAAAAAGTTAACCATCCTTATCCTTCTCGACTTCTCCAAAGCCTTCGATTCCATTAACCATTCCATCCTTTTCAACAAACTGAAATTATTATCCTTCTCCAATAGTTCCATCTCTTGGTTTCAATCTTTCCTCTCACAACGTACCCAAGCAGTCTCCATACCCAACCAACCACTATCTGCCTTCCTTTCTTTATCCTCTGGAGTTGCCCAGGGTTCAAGCATATCTCCTCTCCTTTTCAGCTCCTACATTAACGACCTACCTAAATCAATTCTCCATTGTTCCCATCACCTTTATGCAGACGATTCACAGATCTACCTATCATTTTCCCCTCCTGAGTTACTGGGGGCATTTGCCAAGATCCAAGAAGACCTAGATCGAATCAGTGCCTGGGCAAATGTAAATGGATTAAGGTTAAATGCCGCCAAAACTCAGGCCATTGTCATTGCTTCCAAGCCCCTTCTTAGATCCCATCCAGACTTTCCCATCCTTCACCTTAATGACCAGCCAATCTCCTTCTACTCCTCTGTTAAAAACTTAGGATTTTTCATTGATCAAAACCTCCTTTGGAATCACCATATTTCTCATATCTCTCGACGGACAATTTCCACCCTCAAACTATTCCATCGCTTCCGCCATCTCCTACCTCAACATACGCGTAGACTCCTAGTTTCCTCTCTCATTTTCCCCCACTTTGACTATAGCTGTGTGGTGTATGATGGCCTCTCTGTGGAGCTCCGTGATAGACTGAAAAGACTAATGAACAGCTGTGTAAGATTTGTGATCGGGGCCCCAAGATACTCCCATGTTTCTCACCACTATGCTGAGTTAAAGTGGCTTTTCCCCTCCTTCCGAAGACAATATTTCCTAGGTACGTTCCTCTACCAAATCATCAACAGTCATCGTCCTTCTTACGCCTACAATCTTCTCCAGTTCAAATCCTCAGTCCATTCCCTGTCCACAAGATCTCGACCTTCTAATCTTTACATGCCTTCTCACAGATCTGCCTCATTCCAAAATTCCTTTGTTGTTCGCTCTGTCAATTTCTGGAATTCCCTCCCTATCAAAATTCGACATTCCCCATCCATATCCAAATTCAAAATGCTCCTATTCCAATTCCTATCCCAAGAACAGTCAGATAGTTGCTAACCATTCGAGCTGATTTTAATAGAGAATTTGATACATAAAAATTCATTGATTGATTCATTGATACATTTTTATTTTTTAATTCTTTATTATTTTCTTAAAAGTGTATACTAGTGCAAATAGCTTTAAGTGCCTTGTTATAGTATTAATTGTTTTGTATATAGTTTCGTTTTTTTTTTATATAGAATGTTTACCTTATATTTTTTTTACATTATTTCTTTTTTTCGATTGATTTTATTTTGGCCAGATGTGATCTTTTAATTTTGTTCTATTTTGTTATTCTCAAGGGACTGTGTCCCAGAATAAAATTATTTTTCTATCTATTCTATCTATCTATATTGTTATATTTTAAATTAAATATTTATATTAAAGGTTTATCTCATTTCAGAGGAGAGGAGGGTAGTTAGAGAATCAGACATTATTTTTCTATTCTCCCGGTTTAGGGTTTGAATCCAGCTGTAGTCGATAATAATTTATTCTATAACACCAGCCTTAGGATTGAAACAAGAGTGGGCAGACCCAATTACCAGTCTCTAAGAATTGGCTTCATTAATTAATTAGGCAATTAATAAACTAATTAAGAAAAAAGCCTGACGATCGAACGTGATCTCAGGCAAATCACCTGATTCCATCACGAAACTTTCATATAATCAAGTGCAAAAATATCAAGTAAAGGAAGGAGATGGTCAGGGGTGGCAGTCATGAATAGGCTAAATAGCGGTAAAATTATTATATTAAAAGCCAACATTTTGACCCGACTTTGCAGGACTTCTTCAGTGAGGTGTGTTCAGCTAGGAGTTTCACTTAGAACTTAGCAAGTTTAGCAAGTGGATACTTTACAATAACAGTATACGTTCTGGACAGTGGCTCGACGAAGGAGAAGCAGCAGAACATTTTTCAAAGTCCCCAACTCATCAAAAAAAGGCAATGTTTAATATTTGGTGGAGTTCATTCGGTTTGATACACTACAGCTTCTTAAATCCTGGAGAAACCATCAATACCGAATTGTATTGTAACCAAATCAATGCAATGCATCAGAAATTGGCACTAATGAAGCCATCGTTGATCAATCAGAAGGGGCCCATTTTATTGCATGAAAATGCCGGGCCACATGTCTCACGTGTAGCATCACAAAAACTGGAGCTTGGATATGAAACTCTGCCACATCCGCTCTACTCTCCGGACCTCTCGCCTACAATTATTTTTTTTTTAGAATCCTGGACCACTACTTACGAGACAAAAACTTAAATGGACAAAGGTAATTAGAAAATGCATTTTTGGTATTTATCTATTCAGTTTGTCAATGTATTACATTAACCAATCCATAACTATAAACCCATAAGTTTCTATATAGATTTATTTTAGACTAAAAATGATAACAAATTGATATATTACCGATAGCATCAATTTCATCCATAAAAATTATGCAAGGCTGGTGATCTCTTGCATAATTAAACATTTCTCTAATTAGACGAGCACTTTCTCCAATATATTTGTCAACGATAGCACTGGAGACTACCTGCAGAACAGAAAGATTGGTTACAAATCACTAATCACAGAAAAAGAAAAAAAAAGAAGAAAATATACCATCATGCAAATAAAACCATTTTATTGTACAACTGAATTAAGCAAAATAAAAACCTTGTAAATAAAAAATGATGAAATAAATTTCTAATTCATTTCAAATAATTATTAAAAACTCAATTACTTTAACTTGTAAGTTCAAAACAATATATATAAATAAAAAATAAAACCTTAAGGAAGTTTGCATCTAATTGGCTGGCTACAGCTCTGGCCAACAAAGTCTTTCCAGTACCAGGAGGGCCGTAAAGTAGACATCCTTTAGGTGGAGTAATACCAACTCGTTGAAAAAGTTCAGGATTCAACAGAGGCAGCTCAATCACCTGAACAATACCACATATCACTAATTTTTATGATATGGTGAAAATAAACAAGTTAATTAATAATTAAAAATTATAAATTGAATAGTCGACCAAAGCAATAATCAAAGAGAAAATATTAAGGGTAGCAGTGCAATCAAGATTGACCCAAAAAACAGTAAAATACTGTTTATTGAAGATCAATCCTTCACCTTTATTATAATCGACCATTAGAACTACTAAGATCAAAATACAATGAAGATAAATATCGTAGAGGAATATCAAATGAAAAAATCTGGTGCGCCCAACACACAACTTTCACTTACTCTTTGAACTTTGTTCATCTTTGAATAGAAATTATTTTCTGGTCATGTTGGACTATTATAAAAATTTTGAATTGCATTTTTAACTGAGCTAAAGCTAAAAGATTGCAGCTAACAAATCATAAATACTATTAAAATAACAAATGTCCTATTTATTATATCACCGGTTGATTATGGATTGTACGACTATTAGTTATTAAACTGTTATTTTCGATTGCAAAATTTATTAAAACAGAATTAAGAGATTTGCATTATCTGTCATAGACAGATCAAAAGTTGTCATAGATAATTGTAAGTGGGTTCTGTTGGAATATCGCAAAGGGAAAATTGATCAAATTATTCACTAATTAAATTTTCGGTAATGATGATTTTTCGGAATAAACAGACGATAGATACCTAAATAATTAAATATAGTATCAGATCTAGAGTTATTAAACTACAGTAAATATATTTAAGGTTATAAACGTATCAATGAAATATTTTTATATTTCACACAAGTACAATGAAATAGTAGTGGATATTGTTGGAATATCACAAACGGAAGATTCATCAAATTATTCACTAATTTAATTTTCTAAAAAGTTACATGACAATTTTTTGGAATAAACATTGATACCTAATTATTTAAATATATCAGATCTAAAATCACTAAACTACAGTAAACGTATTTTTGATTATAAACATATGCTTTATACATCCGTGAAATGATTTTATATTTTCCTTCTTCTTTCACACAAGTATAATGAAATAGTTTTTTTAACAATGCCATTGCTTTGATCAGGTGGATATTAAATTCTTTCAACAAACGTAAAAATATTTTTTAAAGTTTACATTTAGTTAGTTAATTTCATTTAATTTCCAGTTTGAACAGTTTATTAACAGTTTGAAAACATGGGATTTATGTTAAATATTATCAGTTTTCAAAAATTATTATTTGTAATTTCTTTGCCGCTCTCCGTTACCTTCTACAACTTTCTACATTACATATTGTTTTTTTCTAAAATTCTCCACTTTCCAATGATATATTATAAGGATACCTTCTGACTAGTATTTCCGGAGATTCATTTTCGACCTGTTTAAGCATTTTTACATTTTTCTCCTTTATTCAATTATCAATTTCTTTCAAAAGTTATATTCAGCATTTTTTCGTAACTTTTAATAATAGGAGATAGTTGATTATTTAAAATAAACCATATTAAAGGTACTTTAAAGGAAGAGGGAAATGAACATTTGGCATTTAAGTCCTGTAAAGTGACATCAACGGGGATAAGACCAAGTATGAACTGGTACTGATGAGTTACTAAGAAAACATGACAAATGATTATTACCTCACGAAGTTCTCTAATTTGTTCTGCAAGACCTCCAATAGCAGAATATGTTACATCTCCTGGATCTTCATGAGACATGTTATACACTAATGGATCAACTTCTCTCGGCAAATGTCGCATAATTGTTAAAGTTGTCATGTCCAATGCTACCCTCGTGCCAGATTTAAGTTTTAATTTATCAAGTTGTCTTCTACAACCAACAACATATCTTGGACCATTGGTAGCCTTGACAATAACTGTAACAGGATAAATATAAGTCAAGGAACCAACTAATTAATAATCAGGCAATAAAAGATAAAAAATGACTTACATTTTTCTTCAGTAAGCTGCTTTAATACTTCTCCAACAATCTACAAGCAAACGCATAACTTGATGACAATGATAACTTAATGATAACAATGAAAGACACAAAATTAACTATAGGCACAAACCTGACCAACACTTTGAAGGGCTTTCAAGTCATTTTCAGATTTATCATATTGTTTGGTAAGATCTTTTAACTGATCTCTCACTAGAAAAATAAAATAAAATATTGTTAACAATCCTTGTTATCATAAACCAGGATTGGAAGAGCAGCAGTGCTAACAAACAGCAATATAGATGACATTAATTTACAAGGATGAAAAATCTACTTACTTTCTTTAAGTCTGACTTCAACTTCTTTATGCTCCAGTAATTTTTTACGATAATCTTGTAAAGCCTTTTCTCTGTTTGGTTCCATTGCTTGAGAAGCCGTCATTTTGCTTGTTCATTCAATAACACACAGGTTAACAATCAGACGAGGTTTCAAATTCTTTGTTTCATGACTCACTCAATTTATTATTCTAAAGCGAATGTAACTGCTCCTCTAATTTTTATTTCCATTGCTGACAATCAACTCTCAATTGAATTATATATTTTTAAAAATGTGTTTTTAATGTTTCTTTTTCATATAATTACTTTATTTTGTTTTTACGGTAATGTTGCGCAACGGTGCCAGTGGAGGTTTCAAAGTTACTTGTTTCAAATTATATATATAGGATAATGTTTAAAATTTGGAAGAAATGTCGCTTTGATGCTTTAAAACAAATAGGAACGACAGCATGTCGTAATTATTCAACTCCACAAGAACAAAGTAAAATGTCATATCTTGCTGATTATAATATTCCTCTCCTTGCAAATCTGTTCTAATATACCCCATTTTATTAATTTTAGGTGTTGATTCTAAACTAAACTTAATTAAAAATATAAATGGACGCCCTTTATATTTAGATGCTCAGGCTACAACGCCCTTGGTACTTTTTACTATATTATTTTTAAATTTTACTGTATTCAATAGATTAGCATTGATATTATTTTCCTATCACTTAGGATCCGAGGGTGTTGGATGCTATGCTCCCCTTCCTCACCAATTTTTGGGGAAACCCTCACTCTCGAACTCATGCATATGGTTGGGAAAGCGAGAGAGCCGTGGAAATTGCTAGAAAGGTATACAATTTTGTCATACTTAAGTTGCATTATTCACTAACTAATTGATCCATCTCATATAGCATATCGCCGATATTATTGGTGCAGATCCCAAGGAAATTATATTTACATCTGGAGCGACTGAGTCTAATAATATAGCCATAAAAGGTGTTGCAAGATTCTATGGTTCATCTAAACGGCACGTTGTTACTACACAAACCGTAAGATTTATTTATTTTTATTAATGATTTTAGTTGTGTTACTTGTTATTAATTATTTTGTTTTGTAAAGGAACATAAATGTGTGCTAGATTCATGTCGAGCATTAGAAGAAGAGGGTTTTAAAGTCACCTATCTCCCTGTAAAACCCAATGGTTTAATTGATCTTGAGGATTTAGAAAAAGCCATAACACCTGATACATCCTTGGTATCAATAATGACAGTTAACAATGAGATTGGTGTCAAACAGCCAATTAAGGAAATAGGTATGCATGATGACTATTACCTTCAGGTAGAAGTAATTTTTAAAATTTCATTAATACTAAATAACTTAATTTTTAAAAAGAGAAATATCAACTTTCTTATTCTAATATGTAATCAACTCTTTATTATTTTATTCAGTTTCTAATCATATCTGTAAAATAAACAAATATTAATGCTTGCTTGTAAAGTGCTTGACAACTTAAAATATACATCTTGATATCTCTAGTTATATGGGGAGAAATTTTTTATCGCTTTTCAGATCAAGGTGTTCAAATAGATAATAATTTTGATTTTTAAAAAATGCTCTTACATTGCAGACTTATTAGGTGTGTCTATTTTATTTTGTTGAATTGCTCTAAGATACTTGTTCCACCTATCTTAACCTTCTTGCCTTCATATCATGAGGTATTGAATAGCCAGTTTCTGTAAATAATTATTTATTGGCCTGATTTCAGATCACTCCACAGAGGATTTTCCTCTAAAATCTTTCATGGGTGATAAATAGTCAGGACGCTGTCATTATACAATTTTTTTTATTTGTGCCAACGTTTCAACCCAAACATGTGAGTCATCTTCAGGACTGAAATTTTAAAATACAATCAGAGATGTAATATTATATGACCGATAATGGTAAATAATAAACTATAGTGATTGATGGTGCATGAATCTTAACTATTTTTACAATACACAATATTAAAGATGAAATATGTAAAAAGTTATACAAACTAAAAATATTATATATAATCTATTAATAAAAATTTGTTATATTTTCTCTTACTAACCGTGGTTCGAACACTGAAGCCTTTCAAGTACTGACACATTTGGTAGGTAAGTGAGGTAAGTAGGTCCCCTGACCTTTTCACTATAATATTATAGTATCTATAATATTATTTAGGTCGTATAATATTATATCTCTGATTGTATTTTAAAATTTTCAGCCCTGAAGATGACTCACGTGTTTAGGTTGAAACGTTGGCACGAATAAAAAAAAATTGTATAATTGCTGCGTCCTGACTATTTATCACCCATGATATGTAGAACAGTCGACTAGCTTCCTTCTAAAATCTTTCAATACTTCTTTTTAGTGTGGTGGTTAGTATCCAGGTCTTGTAGCTGTATATAAGAAATGGCTTTATCATAGCATTGCACAACCTTAATTTAAAATTAATAGAGGTATTTTTATATTTAAAAGTCTTTGAAAGAGAGAAGAAAGTTCTCTTTTTGCTTGTTATAAGCTGGTTTACTTCTGACTTAACAACAAAATAGTTAAATTTTAACTTTATTGACTTATTATTTTCAATAAGAACCATTGTAATCGTCCAAAACTTAACTTAACTTAACCCTTTCTCAAAATTTGAGGTTTTAGATTTCAGGATACGTATAATTCGAAAATCTGGATAAAATTATTTGTCCGTCTGCCGTCCCCGTACGCCATCCACACATTTTCTTTGAGACTACTGGACCAATTTTTTTCAAATTTGTATTTAAAGTCAGAGGTCATCCGAGGATGATCCTGCTATATCAATATTACTATCCGCCCTTTCCTTTCATGATGGCGACCGAAAAACCCCTGTTGCTATGGACTGTAGCGCCTAAATGAATGTACCGGTTTCAATGAAACTTGGCTAAAGTCTTCTTCTCGATCCTTTTTAAATTTATCTATATAACATAATTCAACGACAAGAAGCTGAAAAAAAGTTATGAGAAGTGGTAAAATTAGATTTCAGAATATCTTAAAAAGCTTACAAAATTTCCTTTTAAAGAAAACATTAAAATCAGATAATTTGGAGCAAAGGCATGGTGTCCAGATATTTTTTATATGTTCTACTGCAAAGCTTATATCCTTTGTTCTGGTTTTTGATTTTTGAAAGTGTTACCGAACCAATGCTATTTTTTTTAGCAAATTGCTAATGATGAAAAAAAAAAATGTTTAGTCCAATAATAGGAATCACCTGTTATTTCTTTTTCTTTATTTTACTAGGAATTTACTGTTATTTTAGATGTATAATTGTTTGGAAATAATAAACCACTGTGAAATAATTTGCAGAGATTTTTTAATAATGGTTTTCTAAAGCTTTTTTAAAAAATAAGAAAAATTAATTCTATATTTTTTTGTTTTTAATGTTGTCCAATGGCATCAGAGGTAGACAAAGAAGAAGAAGAATGCTGTCCAAATGTATACTATGGCTGTTTAAAATTTATTTCCTACAATATCCAACTGTCACACTGTGGTTCATAAACCTTTACTTCATGGACAAAAATTATCTGTTCTGTAAACTTCAAAGCTTATCCGTTTGTAGATTAATTATTTAGTTTTGAATAACTTCTATTTTTCACATTTCGGTTGTTGGGGTAGTTAATTTTTTTTTTTACAAACTAAGTAAACAATTTACATTTATTTTTTAAATTAACTCAAAAACAAACTATTGGACAGTCTTTTTCCTTTGTGAAATAAACTTAAGAAGAGGTATTGTTATGGTATTACTACTCAAAACATAAGAATTACTTAGCATTAAATTTTATAATTGTAATTTTCATTGTTTAATGTGGTGTGTCTATAAACAGCAAAAACCTGGAAAAGTAAAAAGAAATTCATTGTTCTGGAAAAGTCAGGAATTATTATCAAGTCAAGGAATTTATCATAAATTTATTGCTAAAAACAATAAAAACTTCTAGTGTGGATTGTTTCAGAAGAAATTAAATCTGTATTACTACTCTTATTTTTGGGATTTGTTTTCAACCTGAAGAAATAATATTCTGTATTTTCTTCTTTAGTTAATTTTCAAATTCTTTCATAGTTTTAATTTATCCGTTTCTTATTACTTCTAATAATGAGATAATTCAAATATACAAGTTAATTAGTTCAAATAGATAAAACTAATGGTCCATTTGAGGAAACTTTTTTGAAAATTTGCTATTTTAAACCTGTCAGACTATTTCACTGAAGATAAGGCCTAGTTGATATTAAAGAAGATTACATTTTAAATTGATATAACTAATTGAGTAATTTTAGAGTGCTACCAATGGGTAGTTTCTCAACAAGCTTTTTTCATGTGATTATATTATTACTGTGTGCACATTTACTGGATGTATTTTTAATATAATGCAGTTTTAAATATCATGAATAAAAAAAAAATTGAATAATTTTAATTTCACTTATCTATATTTATTTATTTGGCACCCACCCTTGCCTATTAGGCTATACGGGTGTTAGCAATAGTAGGATATTATCCATGACTGGATAACAACACACTACTACAAGTTAAACAGTAATACGATTTTCTATCGCTTGTTATATCTTCGGAGCCCTCTGGTCAAGGTTGAATGTGGTCTTCTCAGCGCTGGTCCTTTTCTCCAGCTTGCAATATGGAAATGGACTGGTCGTGGAAACAGGGCAGGTCGTGATCAGGTGCTTCACAATTGGGGCACTCGAGATCTATCTCCTGGCCAAGGCTATGTACCTTGATCTGAAAACCCCCATGCCCCTTGTGGCATTGTGAAACCCATTAGTCCAAGATGACCCATAGTATGTCTATCCAAAATTGTATGGTGGGAAAGTATTTCCTAAGGGTACTCCCTTTTGAAGTTGTCATCCACCCACGGTTCCATTCATCAATTGTATCTTCCCAGATTATCTTCTTCCATTTTTTGGGGTTTTCCAGGTCTCCTGTCAAGTTTTCTTTTTTGAACATTTGTTTACTCATAGAAGGAGGTGGAGAAGTACCACGCCTTCTAGAAATAGGAGCTGAACTACTTAATGTGGCTTCCTAAATGCTCTGGTAACATGCAGAAACAGGGCTATTCTCTGGAACGATGCCATTTTTCTCTGGTGCTATGTGAAGTCACTTATCTATATGGGAAATATACTGTTTAGGGAAGTATAACGATCATGAACAATTTTGAATCCAAGTTTGAACATAAATACTGGTTTTAATGACCCCGAGTCCAAATGACTAATTCTCACAAAATAATGTGTGTGTGTGTAAACAGCATAATTCTAAAACCAAAATATGTATGAAACTGAAATCATGTATTTAAAGAAGGTATATTTAGGTCTGAGATCTTACAGCAACTGTTTGCAAATCACCAAACTAAAAGTATTTCCTTTTATTTAATAATTTTCAACAAAATAGCTCTAACAATTAATAAAGTTGTTATACCAATATACTATAAAATGGTTTTTAATATTAGGTAAACTTTATCCTTATCGATGTAGAGGTCAGACCTTAAATACTAACATTTCTTTCTCTAAAGCACCATTAGTTTTGTTCATTTCAGATAGTTTATGATCTTCCACTTATAGTAGTGATAAGAAATAGATACATTTAAATTATGAAGGAATATGATAATTAACTGAAAGAAACTATTTTTCCAAATCAAAAGCAAAGTTCTAAAAATAAGAGTAATTATATAGATATAATAATAATATTGGAAAAATAAAATTTTAGAAAAATATATATATATCATATTAAGTTGTAGAAGATTATGGAGAGTAAAAAAAATTAATAAAAACCTTGTTAAAAATATCTACTTTTATATTGCTTCATACTTATAAAAATATAAAATTATTTAGGTGAACTCTGCAGGAAGAAAAAAGTTTTTTTCCATACTGATGCTGCTCAAGCTGTTGGAAAAATTCCTTTGGATGTAGAAGAACAGAAAATTGACCTCATGTCCATAAGTGGTCATAAAATTTATGGTCCTAAAGGTAAACTGTATTAAAGTAATCAGCCAATTTAATTTTGATCACTTTCAACCAATTTTTCACTGTTTCAGTGTGTGTCTGTGTGTGAGTTACATCAATCCTCATAACATGAGGCGTTTTTTGAAATCATTCCTACTATTTTTCAATTTTTTAGTTGTATTTTTCCAAAAACTAATAGGCTATTGCATTGTATTGAAGATCTTTAGAGGAAGTTGAAGGTGCATTTTATATCCATTTCAGAACCCTTCGAGCACGATCATGGAGGTTTTGGGGATATGGGACTTATATATAGTTGATTTATTGCAAAAAGTCATTAAGTGACCTTAAATCAACAAGAACTTAGATAAATTTCTTTTGTGAAATCAGTATTGTGCACTTGTAAGTATATTCCATATACAAAATGGTGTGTTTCATTTTGCTTCACTTAATTTGTTTTTTATCTATAAATTCACAAAAAAGTTTTTAAAATTCAACTTCATCATAAATTTACTTAGTAAGTTTTTGCAATAAAGTGATTATATACACATTTTACTTATCTTTGTATATGTTTGTACTTTTTAGATTCTTTAAGTTCTTACTTTTTTTCTTCAAATGAAAATTAAATTATTATTTTAACCGATTCATATTTATGTGTCCATACCAAATTCAGTTTTGAATGAATAATGGTTTGCCACCTCCTTTTTTTAATTTATTGATTAAAATTAAATTTTTTCATTTAAAATTATGTAATTTAGGTTTTCTCTATTTAATTACTTTAATTTGTTTACTAATTGATTACCTTTTTTCCCTTAATGCCTTAGCATAACTTTTTATTTAATTCATTTGTATGACTCATAAATGCTAAAATATAGAGAAAATGCAATCCATTTTTGCTAGCTGGTCATGGAATGTAATATCCGATCATACATACATTTTATTGATGTTTTAGGAGTTGGAGCCCTTTATGTTCGCAGACGACCTCGTGTTAGATTAGAACCACAGATGAGTGGTGGCGGCCAAGAAAGAGGGCTTCGAAGTGGAACAGTGCCTGCCCCGTTGGCAGTTGGATTGGGTGAAGCTTGCAGAATAGGAATTGAAGAAATGGATGTAATTATTTCTTTTTACTTGATATATTTGATATTATAGCAAGTTTTAATCAAAATATTCACTAATACCTGTTGTTACATATTTTTTAGTTAGTTCACATTCTCCACTTTTCTTTATTTTATTTATCCTCAACATAACTTATAAGTCAAAATTAAAAAACAATAAGTTTTATAGTTTTTTGTTATTTTTATATTTCAGGGATTCTTTCTTGTTCGTCTGCAGCATCTAAAATTTAATAATAATAAGAAAATAAAACATTGAGTTTCCTCAATTTCTTACATTATTTGTGCTAGGTTCTGTATTGAACAAGTTAGGTACTTAAAATTAAAATTGTGATTAACATTTGTTTACATAATATGTTCCATTACGTTTGGCTAAGTTTAGCCAATGAAGGAAAATTCTGTGCATCCGATATTTTTATCAATCCCTTATTTAATCCTGCTCACACTTTCATCCTACATATTATTTATCACTCAGTACTTTGTCAGCTATTACTTTTTCACTACCATTGTTTTTCAACTATTATCAGTATTATGTAATGACACTACAGCATCTGAGCTAAGCATCTAAAATTTAATAATAATGTAAAATAAAACATTAAGGAGTCTCCTCAATTTCTTAGGTTCTGTATTGAACAAGTTATTTAAATTTAAAATTTTAACAATAAATTTATTTACATAATATGATCCATTACTTTTGGTTAAGTTTAGCCAATGACAGTACATTCTGAGCATCCATTATTTTTATCAATCTCTTATTTAATCCTGCTCACACTTTTACTCAACATATTATTTATCACTCAGTACTTAATTAGCTATTACTTTTTCACTACCATTGCTTTTCAACTATCACCAGTATTATTTAGTGACACTTAAGTTATTACTAGAGAATGGGATGGCCGAGCGCATTGGAGCGTGGGTCCCAGAGTGCCCGGTTCTGAACGTTGTGGGTTCGATTCCCACCTGGTTCAGTTACTTATCATTTCTCGGCAGCTCTGGGAAATGGATATAGACATTCCCACTCTGGTAAGTATGTGGCAGCAACTGTCAAGATAAGCTAAGATAGCCGTCAGGAGTTGGCAAAAAGGACCACGATATGGCCCACTGGCCAGACTAGTTCCCCCCACCAGTACCAATAATAGTAGGTGATTACTAAAAAAAAATGAATAAATTCAATAAAAGAGGAATTCTAGAAAAATATAATAAATTGCATGAAACAAAAATATAGTAGAAAATAATAAAACATTAATGAAAACACCAGATACAATATAAATAAAATTGTTAGTTCTGAATGATAACTTCAAATTTGAATTGAAGGATATAATAAAAATAATAGCGGATTTAGAAAAGATTTTCTACAATAAGATATTCAAACTTGAAAGAACTTAAAGATTAAAGATGTCAAGAATTGAAAAAAGAAAATATAGAATATTTATTTAAATTGATGTAGAGAAGTTGGAGTATAAAAATTTTTGTAAACAATTTGTCAATTGTGCCAAAAAATTATTACTTTGTATTTTAATATTTATATTAAAATTATTTTCTGATTAAAACTTTAATTTTTTTTTAATTACTGTATTAAAACAAATTCTGTCTGTGTTTTTTTAAATATTTCAAGTAACTAAAATCAGGCATATTTTAAGTGTGATTAATATAAATAGAAAATAAGTATCTTGCATTCTATTAACATCTGTTTCAGTATGATCATGCATATGTCGAGAAACTTTCCTGCCGGCTTCTCAATAAAATTATGTCAAACTTAACTGATGTTATAAGAAATGGTGACCCAGTACATTCCTACCCTGGGTGTTTGAATCTCTCATTTGCTTTTGTTGAAGGTAATTTATATTTTTTGTTTATATTGGTAGATTTAAAAAAGCAAACACTATTTAGACATCCTATATGTATATGTATGTACGAGATAGTTTTGTTCAAAAGTAGATCATCATATGAAATGTGTGGACTTGGATTGTGAAAAAAGACCTTTTGAAATATTTGAATTACATAATTTAATTCTTATCTTTCATCAAAATTGTAAGCAAAGAAAAACGCATATTTACTTAAATAATTTACAAACACGAGTATTTAAGAAACATTTAAAATTACTTTAAGTTTATATATATAATTTTTCCTCCAGTTCTAAATAAAAACAGTTTCAGAAACATCTAATATCTGCTTAGTAAAAATAAAGGTCTTGACTTCATATTACATTTGGTTTGATAAATATTAAATAAATATAAATTTTTTATAAAATTATATATACACAGTGCAATCTCAGTAATAATAATCTGATATAATATATTAAATCAATAACAATCTGGGAACTTTGATAGTCCATAGATTGTTATTATCTGAACTGACCAAAAGAGAACTAAGGGAAGGAAAGGCGAAAAAAAGAGATTTTTTTTTTTTAATATGACTACTTTATTAAAATAGTGAAACTACCTTTTGCATTATACAGTAAGATGGCAGTTTCTTACATTTATTGTTTGGTTGATCGTGTTTCCTTTGCTTGAAATCTTTTAATGAAGATCTACTATTCTCCTTTAACCTAACATTTTTGTCTGATAAAACAAGTATTTTCTTGTTGGGACTGTATTGTAGAATATATTTTTTTTATCAGGCAAAACTTTTAGTTTGAAGATGTATGGACTATATATAAATAATATGTTTTATATTTAATCATAATTTCCTAATATCTGATGAGGGCGTAGGAATATTTTCCCTGGGATCCTTAATTTCTCTCCATGACCACGAAAATGGTAAAGCTGGGAGAAAAAAAAATTGATATCTCCAAAAGACTCTTTTTCTAACACCAAATCAATTCATAAACAAAAAAAAATAAATAAAAATTTCGGGAGTGTGGGAAAAAAATTGAAATTCATACTTCATACGGCATCGTTAAAAAGACCCACTTACAAAAACTTCAAACGTTCCAATCAAAATTATTGCGACTCATAACAAAAGCACCTTGGTACGTGACTAACAAAACTCTACATACTGACCTCCACTTTCCAACAGTTGACCAACATATAACGACCCTATATCAACGATTTTACACAAATTTAAATGGACATAATAACAGACTTATAAGAGACATGGCCATAACTGACATACCTCAGAACATGAGCAGGAGACTAAAAAGGCGTTGGATGAGGGATCTCCTTCCTTAGACAACCTAAGTAATTGGAACAAGTTAGGGAAGTGGTACTGCTGAGTACTTTCCTTCCCCATGCCTGTCATGTCATTATATCATTGTCGCCATCACATTTGCTGATTGTCAACTTATTGTTGACAGGCGCAAATACATGTTTATAGACAAAAAAAAAAAAAAATACTTCATAATGAAGTAGCTGTAGAGGTATGCTAAATCATTAAAACTTGGAAAAAATGTGCTCCAAATTAAAAATCTGGTTATATATAGCTGAAGAAATTGTAAAAAGTACTAACTAATATATAAAATACTAGTGTATTTTATATGTTTTTGTGGTATGTACTAGTATTTTTATATACTAATGTATATGAAAATAGTCAGAGTAATGAAAATTGGCTGTAAATAGTATTAAGAAGAAAATTAAGAGTAGGAAAAGATTAGTTAAATATATAGTTGCTTTTCCTTATTTTCAGGTGAATCTCTGTTAATGGCATTGAAGGATATTGCATTGTCCAGTGGCAGTGCTTGCACTTCAGCCTCTCTTGAACCATCTTATGTTCTTAGGGCCATTGGTACTGATGAAGACTTAGCACATTCATCGATAAGGTGAAAATTCGCAATAAACATAATTTGATACTTACAATTTCAAAATTTTTAAAATAATGTAAAGTAATTTATTAATGTTTTCAGGATTGATAAGTCTTCTGTTTCATTTTTCTATATGAATCAAATTAGTAAAGTTAAATTAAAATAAAATCTCCCATTGCTTTAAACAAGCACCTCTCGATTGAACTTGGTTAACACATATTTCACTTCTGTGCGTTTCACTTATTCATATTTACTTATTATAATTACTCATGTAATTAATTAATAAAATATAATTCACTAGCTAACTTTTAGAAAGATGACCTCTCATATTCAACACTTAGCAGGATACAAGTAACTGAGAAAGGTCGTTGGATGTTAACGTGTAAAAAAAGTTATAGGATGAATTTTTGTTGAAGAATGGGATAATGTTTACTACTGTTTTTGTCTGTTCTTCGCCGAGTAGATGTGAACTTACTCTTTTCACAGAAAGGCACTCAGTTGCTAACACTTTATTTTTTCTTTAAACAATAAACAAAATAAATATTTATATTTGGCTACAGTTAGTATGATATAGGTACGTAAGATTATTTATCTATTGTAGATTAAAAGGACATTTTTTGTTTGCATATATTTGTTCTAAAATAGTTCTGGCTACATATACTTTCTTCATCAAGTCTCATTTAAGCTTCTTGGTAATTAGGTTTAATGTTTGCCCCCATAGCTGGATGACCACCCTGACCACGCGATGGCTCTGCACATCCTATTTTTTATATTTTACTATAAACTTTACAACCTTTGCGGTCTACCTGGAAATGGAAAAGCTGATGAGCTCGCACAGATCGCCTCGGAAATGCCACAAACTTCCGCTGCCCTACGAATCTGTTAAAAGTTTTTAAAATCATTTTATAAGAAAGAGAACAAGAATTGCCAAGAGTGACTGACAGCAGGGAAAAAATGGGAATCTTCAACAAGAGGGCCGAGGAGAGAAACAAAAAATAGAAAAGAATCTGTGGCAAATTTCCGCATGACGACCGAACACGATTACGCATTTACCATAAGGCATTTACCTAGGATTGGAGTGATGGAAAGCCCTGTGTGCCCTCATTGCCAAGAGGACGAGATGTACGACCTGCACCTCCCAGTATGCCCCGCTCTGTCATATGTCCGCAGTAATCTTTCTGGTGGGATCGGCACAAATATAAGCAATAGAATCATGGCGGAATTGTATTGGGCTGCCAGAAGCCGAGATTTATAATAAGTATTACTAATACATTAAATATATAATTTTGTAAATTGATCCAAAAATATCAGTATTGTAACATCTTTATTGGTTCTCTTATTTGTCTATGCTAGTTCTGGAAACATCTAGGATAATCCTTTTTTATTCTTATAAAAAAGTTTTTATTTCTTGTAAATTATGAAAACTTTGCTAAATTATGATATTTTTATTAATTATAATTTGTTATTCAATATTTCTGTTCTCTTATATTTATAAAAAAATAACAATTTTTTATTTCTAATAGGTTTGGTTTTGGACGATTTACCACTATTGACGAAGTAGATTACACTGCTGAAAGATGTATATATCATGTTAAGAGGTTAAGAGAAATGAGGTAAGTCAACTTTGTGTTAAAATATTAGCGCTTGTTTTTATTTTTAAATATTTCAATTTGACAATTCAAATTTAAATATCATCTTAGCCTAGTTTTAGTTAGACAATGAAATTATACTCTGTGTTTGTCATGACTTTTAGCTGGTAGGTACATAACCCTAAGTTTTTGTAGCCACCACATGTAAAGCTGAACTGAATGGAGTTGGGTGAAGCAGAGTTAAACATAGTTGATATGGGGTGGCAATATGAAGTCCATTCAATTAAACTCTGCTTAACTCAGTTGCCCCCACTCTCCATTCAAACCAGTGGGTTTATTTTGGTTACAGATTCCACCCCAGTCAGCTACTGGGTGGCTTCCTAGGCTAAAAAAATTATTTATATTTGTTATTGAACGAAGTTTAGTCGACTGTTCTACATACTATCGTATGTATATGATAAATAATCACCTATAATAAAAGTAATCATTTTAAGATTTTTATTGTTCCAGACGTTTCAACTCAAGTATGTGGGTCATTATCAGGGCGTTTTCAGTATTTGTTCAGTACTGGAAACGCCCTCATAATTACCCACATTGCTGGGGTCGAAACATCGGCAACAATAAAAATCTTAAAATGACTATGCCCTGACTATTTATCACCTATTTAAATTTGTTTTCTTTCTAAGAGTGGTGAGGATGCATTAGGAATAGCAAGATATTTTGATAATAATGTTGCTTGACTTATAGGACTACCTAGCATTCCTCAATAAATTTATAATTAAATCTATTTATTATTACATTACATTTGTTTCTATCTAATTCTATGACTTTGTTTTTTCTAGTCCACTGTGGGAAATGGTTCAAGAAGGTATTGATCTGAAGAGCATTAAATGGTCACAGCATTAATAGTTTAATAAAGAATATTTTTATTATATGCTGTTTTGTATTTTGTTGTCATTAAAGAAACAAACAGAATAAAAAAAAATGCAGCTTCACTCCAAACAAAATATTTGGAAAATTTAATATCACTTAATTTAAAATAATTATTCATTGTTATGACAATTTTTTGTATGATTGCCCTTTAATTAATGTTTAGACTAATTTATTAAATTGTTTATTATTTCTGTCAGATGATATTAATTAAAATGTTACCTTTTTAATTTTTAACACTGTATTGTTTTCCCTATTGAATGAGAAATGCTTTATTAAATATACATAAATTATAAATTTCAACGTACACAGAACATTTATACAGCATGATTATTCGTCTGCCAGAAATTGTATACGTTTTACAGGCACAACAGTACAAATAAAGACTTCATATTAATATCATATCCATGAATAACTGATAAATAATAAAACAAGAAATAGAATATAAAATAATAAATATTTTGAATAATTTATATCTAAGAAATAATACAAAAGGAAAATCATAAACAATAACATGAAGATAACTGACCACAAATAAATTAGATGGATCATTGTCTATGTTGGATGTAGCCAATTAAAACGGTGTATTCACGCATGTCAAGCAAAACTGACAATTTTATGACATTCGTTCACAGAGGGTAATTTAGAAGATTAATATAAATTAAGATAATATCATTTCAAACCTAGTTTCAAGAAATTCTATTGAAAATCATTTATCCTGTAAATATGAGAACCTTTTTAATAATAGCCTAAAAATGTCTTCAAGGAGTCGATAGACCTATCCTAGCACTTTTAAAAAGTCATTAAGTCAAAAGTAACTATTTCACCTTTAAGTAATAAGGACGTATTTTAGGAGACTTGTATTTGTAAAAATATGATTTTTTTTTTTTTTTTTCACTCTTTGCACCAGGCAACATTAGCACATTTTGAACTAGGAAGAAGGCTTTACCCCTGGACCACATCTTGTCACCATTTTATTGTGCGCTTACTCTGACAACCTGTTTGCAACAGCAGTTAAGGAACTGGTCTTGGTCAAGTTCTGAGATTTAAATCCTTTGAAATAAGGATATGGATATAAATAAGGAAGGGTTTCAGAAACTCAATAATATTACAATACAGAAGAAAATTAACATTTTATTAACTTTCAAAATTAAAACATGAATGAGAATAATCAAAATCAAATATACAATGAATAAATTTATTTCAATAAAATTACATTAATTACATTTAGATGCTATATAACTTTTGACTTTACATAAAATTATATACACGTCTAATAGGACACTGAAGCCATCATTTTTCTTCTTTCCATAAATAATTAATATTTAATGCTGAAAAAATTATATATGGGGTTCTTCTTCCTTTGATGACTAAGCAATAAGTTTATTTCCATTAAAAAATGAAACCTTATCGATAAAAAATCCTAAATATAGGATTAAATAAAATCCTACATATTAAAAGGAAGGAGGTAATGGTTATTGAACCAGAGTTGAAAGACCTGAAAATACAAAATTATATTATTATACTGACAAAATATAAAATGAAATCTAGAGGAAAGAGAGATTACTACCTTCCTACAATCAAAAATTTAATTAACCAAACTAAATCACCTGTAAATAAAAACATTATCATATTAGCTGTTTCTTCAAGTTAACATGTAAGTGCCGAAAAAAAACTTTATAAGTGTAATTCTATATGGAAAAATCTGGTGCGCGCAACACAACTTTCACTTGCAGCTCAACTTTGAATAGAAATTATTTTCTGGCAATGTTGGGCATTATAAAATTTTTTAATTGTATTTTTAACCGAGCTAAAGCTAAAAGCTCCCATTAAAATAACTGAAGTCCTATTTATTATATCACCAGTTGATTATGGGTTGTACGATCCATTGATTATGGATTGTACAACTATTAGTTATTAAACAATTATTTTCCATCGCAAAGTTTGCTTAAATGGAATTAAGAGATTTACATTGTCTGTCATAGACAGGTCAAAAGTTATCACACTAATTGTAAGTGGATAATGTTGGAATATCACAAAGGGAAAATTCACCAAATTATTCACTAATTTAATTTTCTGAAAGGTTACATGATGATTTTTCAGAATAAACAGAGGATAGATATCTAATCATTTAAATATAATATCAGATCTAGAGTTATTCCAGAACCCTAACAAAATACAGTAAATATATTTAAGGTTATAACCATATCCATGAAATATTTTTATATTTCGCACAAGTACAATGAAATAGTATCTTAAACACTGCCAATGGCTCGAATCCGTGGATTTTAAATACTTTTTCAAACTAAAAAAAAAATGTTTAAAATTTACATTTAGTAAGAAAATTTAATTACTTTCTTTGAAAACACGTGGTTTATGTTAAATAATGTTAGTTTTTTTTAATTATTACTTAAATTTTTTTTCACCACTCTCCTTACTATGTATTTTTTATTTTTATTATTTTTACTATGTATACCTAGATATGTAATTTTCTTTTCTTTTCTTCAATTATCAAATTCTTTCAAGGGTTATATTTAACATTTTTTCATAACTCTTAACAATAAGAAATAGTTATTATTTATAATAAATCAAATTAAAGGTACTTTACAGGAAAACACGACAATTTTGGGATTTCACAAAGGGAAAATTCATCAAATTATTCACTAATTTAATTTTTTGAAAAGTTACATGACGATTTTTGGGAATAAACGGATGTTGATACCTAATTATTTAAATATATTAGATCTAGAATTATCAAACTACAGTAAATGTATTTAAGGTTATAAACATATGCTTTATACATCCATGAAATGATTTGATATTTCACTTCTTCATTCACACAAATACGATGAAATAGTTTTTTAAACAATGGTATTGCCTTGATTAGGTGGATTTTAAATATTTTTTCAAACTTAAAAAGATTTAGTCAGTAAATTTAATTTAATAGACTAGTATTTCCGGAGATTCATTTTGACCTGGATAAGCATTTATATTTTTTCTTCTTTATTCAATTATCAAATTCTTTCAAAAGTCATATTTAGAATTTTTACTTAATTCTTGAGTTTAATCAAAATCTTCAGAGCTGTTTTTAAGAAAATTGTAAAAATGTGTTTCAGCGTTGATATAAAGTGGCATTTCTGGATAGCCTATTTTAAGAAAAAAGTTGCTGTCACATCTAAGGCATATACCTATCTTAAATACATAATATCAGTTCCCTACAACTTTTCATTTTTGACCTAGACTGCTAACATACACACAGACAGACCATTTTGCGGGACTTGTTATTTGGACACCACCTTAAAACGTTCAACACCTTAAAACGTGTGTTTCCGTTGAAAACTTAGATTCGGATATTTTCACGATCACAATTTTTTCCCTTACAATATTTTACTTGATCAAGGAAATGTTAGTAACCATATATATTTTTTTTCCTACCTCTCTTGTCCAGAAATATAAATTTGCCTGTTGTTTTCCTTCAGTGTAGGTTGTTGTCATTTTCCATACTCATGAATTGTTTTTAATTGGGCACTCTCTAATTAGATCCTCCTACTTTCAACCTTTCTCACCCATAACTAAATGAGTTAATGAGTTTTTCTTTAATTCATTAGCAGGAATTTTAAAATGATCGGTGTCTTTGTAATTCAAAATTTCCCTTATACCAATTTTTTAAAGAAATAATTACATTTAACTGCTAAGAAACAGCATATTGTTAATAATATATAATTCAAATTAAAACAAAACAACTAACATAATAATATTATGTAATATTTGTATCGGAAACAGAAACAAAAGAAAGCATCATTGTAAAACCTAGTTACTTATTAGATATCCCAAATCACATAGTCAAGGGTAATAAGAACAGTTGTCATAATTCCTAGGTCTGTAGTTGAGTACAATATGATGCATAAAATGGTCACAATCACTAAAAATTAAGTAATGTACAAATTTCCATCGTGATGCTTGAATGGGTGATCAATTGGTTTATTTATTTTTTAATTTGTGTCTACTGAGGCCTATATCTTATTCATCATTACTTTCACCCACCAACTAATAACTTGTGAAAACTTATAACTTAACTCCAGTAACTAATACATTACATTAATTTACAAGGGAAAAATAAATCAGAAAGTTATATGAATTTATTTCTAACAGAAATTATGAGCCTAATACTTTTCATGTTAGCAGTTAAGAGACGTGATTACAACAATAACGATAAAAAAAAGAGTAAAATAACTTACCAAATATGACAGATGAGACCCTTAAAGCAATTTAACCTTACCTTTATCAACAAATCTGTTGAAAGATACAATAATTATAAATCAACACCTATAATTACCAAAAGAAAAAAATCTTTGGGGTCTCAATGGACCACAATGGAATATATATACAAATTTATAAACTGAAATAGAAAGAATCAATGATGAAACCATTATGCATTATTAGGTATAACTCCAGAATAGTAGATCTAGATCTGCAACTACGAAAAATGGCTGATCATTAATCAATATAGATTACTGTGTGCTATAAATTTAGTCAGGTTATACTGACTTTTAAAAAGTCTTTTATAGGAGAAAAAGTTTGTGATAACCTCTAGCTTCTACTACATTTTACTAACCTCTTTTCAACATAACAGGTAGCTGAGGATGTTTAAGGATCGTTTTATTACAAATAAAATAAATACAATTACTATCTGACTAATATATGGTATTAAGGTCTTTATTTTTTATGCAAGTTTAAGTCAGTAAATGGTTATGATCTACTCAAAGCTAAATAAAACTTTAATACTATTTTTGGCAAGATACATTAAAGACAAAATAGTTGAAAAAAAAAAAGGATAGTTTATAAAAATGGCAACTAGTTTAATGGAGAAGGATGTTTAATCTCATTAAAGTATCAAAATCTCTTAAATAGCAATCCAGAATCCTTATCAATTAGTGAGTTTGGAACTCAGTGTACTATGAATCTAGATCCAGTATTCTGGAAGATTATATATATGTTTTTTTTTTTTAACAAAAAATGAATAAAAAGGTCCTAAAGTAATTAATAAATGTAACAATTAACAGTCATAAGAAATATTAGAAAGGAAACAGATGATTAAATTGTTCAAAGTAAATATGCTCTATATTAAAAATTATTTCAATAGGCTACAGATAAAGAAAACTAAGTGTTGCTAGAGATTAAGAAATTAAATAAGCAACTATATTTTGGCAAAGTTTTCAAACTTTATTATTTTACATTGATACCAGTTTTAAAAATAATTTTTAAACATAACTCAATAGGACAACCCTCCTTGGACGAAAGGGTGGGGTCAGAAAGGGGGCAAGATGTTCGCAAAATAATTAGCACAAAATAAGTGGAGTAAGATGCCGTATTTAGTTTATCTGTTTCTGAAACAAATGAGAGCACTCTTCATGATAACAGATACAATACTTTCGAAAATATGGCCAATAATTTTCTAAAAAACTGTTATTAACAAAAAATGAATAAATAATTTGCCATTTTCCAGTTCTGACCTTTTATTCTAAAATTATCTTCTCACTATTATTTGCCAACAAGCCAACTCGACAAAATAATGATGATTAGATGCTGAATAAGGGGAGCGAGATTCTCCGAAACCTAAATTAAAAAAGAGTAATCAACAAACAATCATGATTATTTTGATGAGTCGATCTATTGGAAAAAATAATGAGAAGACAATAAATAATTGTACCTAATACATAATTTATAGAACCTAATTGATAATTATCCAATACGAAATTAATCTATGTATTTCAAGTATGAAATCTCCACATTCTTTAGTATTATTATTTAATTTTTTTTTCACAAGCACTAAATATAGGAAAACACTAGTCAGGTCTTTATGAGGAGTTTGAGTGCGTTGATAAACAAAAATATCACCTGTATTGGTTTCCTTCTGTAGTACAACTAGCCCTATTTGAGTTGAAATTTAATTCTTTATATGGGGTCATAAGTAAAAGTTGTGTGATATACACATTTTGTTCACTGTAAGCTATGAATAAAAAAAATAATACTAAAGCTTTAAAATGTCACCAAAACATAATTGTTTAATTATTGACTCAACCTCAGAAAAACAGCCAAGGTAATAATCAATAAACATGAATAGGAACATAGATATTTGAGATTACTTGTTGATATGTCTATCAATCATTATTGTAAAAATCATGAAGATGAGTTAGGCAGGGAACAGTCAAAGTAAATAAAAAATACTTTTTATGGCATTATTAAATATTATAGTTTAAATTTTTATTTAAAATGATGTAAAAAAATTCAACACGCATCAGGATTCTTTGTTCCATAATATTGTGACTGCACATCTTATTTATTTAAACTTTATAATGCAAACTTTCTAAATGGATCAAAAATATTAGAAAAACATCCAAACATCAAATGTATCACAAAGAACAATCATGATTATTTTGATTTTATTTTACAAATAAAATATGTATTTGTACATGGAAGATCGAGTAGAAAGTGAAACTAAAGCTTCCAATGATTCATACATACTAAGGTATTATAACAGCGCTTGTTTTCTTCAGATCATAATAGTGAATCGATTTATTGATTTAAGCAGTAATAGTGTTAATGAAACAATTTCTTTTATTTGACCTTGGAAGTTGAAATCCAAAAACTTCTATGAAATTTTAAACAGGTATTAATATATCACGTTAATAAAATATATTCTAAAAAAATGGACTCATAATCTAATTAATATTTAAAAATTGTGCATACAATTAGCAAAAAAATCATATCATCCAAAAGACAGTATCATGCGCGGATGATAGAGGTAATGTGAGCCAGTCAGATGTCAGCACCAAGAGTTAAATCTTTATAACCAAGTGTTCTGAAAATTCTTTATCCCCATTATCAAATATTAAAAAAAACAACTTAAGTAGCATAACGTAAAATAAACCCATATTAATAAAGCACCCCTATCGCCATAATCATTATGAACAAATTTGAAGTTTCATAATCAAGGCTTCCTAATGAATCAATGAGTTGGGCTAAATCATGAATTTATCTTCCCTTGCTAAATAAAAATTAATGTAAAAAGATAAAAATAATACTCTTGTACTCAACTCGTATACACTTATCATTCAACTAATGAACTAAAATCATTTTTAATTCTAGAATATAATAATTACCAAAGAATGAAATATAGAACAACCTTAATCTTTTCTTCGCCTTTTATCTTCCCTTCGATCGTCCTTTGCGGTTCGCTTTGATGAACCCTGAGCTTTCTTAGCCTGGGTCAAGAACTGATCCAGACCAAATGGATCATCTTCTTCTTTGTAAAACTGAACTGGACCAACACGACTTGAGCCACCACGATCAGTTCCGCTAAATTCTTTGTCAGGTACAAATCTATAGAAGCAATGTTAAGTTAGATTTTTTTTTTTTTTTTTAACAGGCAATGATGTATATCAATAATAACTGACCTATTTGTTTTGATTATTTTGTCAAGGTCATCACCATACATATCTTTGTCAACATTCTTTGTAGGTCGGTATAAATGCTGAGAAAGAGTATTCGACTCTCGCCAAGCTTTGTCATAGACATTGTATGATTCGTCATCACCAAAACCAGAATCCATTCCTTTAGTTGTATTAAATAACCGTTGATCAAACGCAGCTTCCCCAACAAGCTGTGTTTTAGCAGGTAATCCTAGAGCAATCTGTTCACTGATATCTCTTTCCCGTTCCTTTACAAGTTTAGACCTAAAAAGCAAGTTGTTTAAATAACTTCGAAAACAAAGCTTACAAATAAGCATAGTTTAAAAACTATGACTATACCTCTTGTCAGGAGCAGCTCTAGCCAAATTTCGTTCTCTAGCACGGTCCTTGTGCCTCTCAAACCTAAGTTGATCCCTTTCTCTAGCTTCTTCATCTTTTTCTTTAAAAAAAAATTAAAAGAATTTTTAGAAATAATTAAATAAAATAAAATATTGTAATATACACCTTTATTTGAAGTTGATAAAAATGGTTTAGTAAATTAATGTTAAACAATTAAAAGGCAAGCTAATCTAGTTCTGCTAATGTCAGGGATGTTTAAATTTGAAAAATAGTTTCACTAGTTTAGGGAAAAGAAAATGGCTGCTCTGTAGTTTTCCCAAAAAGAAAAACCACAAAGAGGAGAGGGACAAACAGAGCTTGAGTGGAGTAGATGAAAGTGTTACCATTTTGGAAGATGTGTTTGTCAGAACATAGGAAAATGTTCTCAGATAAATGAATTCAGTGACACAAAGGAAGAAACAGTGTATATAAAAAAAAGTTTAGCTTGCCAATTTTAAAATCAAACAGTGTTATTGTAAATAATTGTAATTTGTCTGAGTCTTTTTTTGATGTGATTGTCAGTAAATCCATATCTGAGCTAAAATAATTAATTAATAATATATCAATATTCTTAGAATTTTGTTTATTATTTAACAACCTCCTATTTCTTTTGGAAGTATCACTACAGTATGGAGTGATCTTCCCAGGAGTTCAAATATTAGGTAAAAAATATAAGATATTGCAATATATAAAATTAATTTCCATACCATGATTCGCAAGTGTTCTGATACCAGCTCGTTCTTCTCTAGCTTTCTGAGCAAGTTGTCGTAAATGCTCTTCTTTCTTTTCCTTTTCTTTCTGAGCTAATTTCTTTTCTAGTTGTGCCCTCATTTCAACAGCTTCTCGTGCCTTAAATGAAATTAATCATAAATATATCTACAACTTATAAATAAAATAACATGTGTAAATTTATACATCTGGCCTTATGAGTTTACTTGCCCGCATGCCACTGAACTCATTTCAACAAATAAAAAGTTTTTTTCTATTGTTTAAAGGGAACAAAAGGGGATTTATATAATATCTATCTGCCATTTGTCAGTTTTCTTTTAAACTGTAATCCTTTTCACAATTTTTATGAAAACTTATATATCTAATGTTGCAGTGCCTTAAAAATTGGCAGAAATCAATATTGAACTTATTTAGGGGATTTGTGCCAATTTTTAAGCCAAAATGCTTTTATTTCAACTAGAAAAAGTTTAATTTGAAAAAAATCATTTAATTTGAAGTCATCATGTGAGACTATTGAAATATACTATTTATACATATATTCAACAGCATAGCAACAATTAAATTAAATTTTGCAATAATATGTAGATGATCTTCATGTTAGATGTAATGAAGAATAAATCAAGTTAATTAAAAATTAACTTGATTATTAAAAATGAACCTTTTTAATTAAAAGGTTAATTAAAAATTATAACTATTTGTAATCTATATTAGAGTCTGGATTAATAGAAATCACAGACCAGATAAATTCATAAAATGTGGCTTTGATATTGTAATCTAGTCAATTTAGACAAAATAAAAGAAAACTAATTCTCTGAAGTTTTTAAACTTGGTAAACTTGCTCCCTCAAACGTCCTTTATAATATACTAAAAATACCCTAAGATGAAGGTCATTTTCTTTTTCTTAAATGTCTGAGGAAATATTGAGTTAAGTGAAAAGTAATCCCTATACAAAATTAAATTAGAATCAATTATTTCACAAAAGGTTCTATTCTTCATATGGTCACATTTTTCTTAATGGCCATAGATTCGGAGGTAAAGTCGAGGCAAATTTATAAATAGAAAAAAACATGCAGTGCTGCTATTGGCAATACAATAAAGGTTGACAGTGAATGTTGCTCTGACAGATCGTCATTTGTATAATAATCTAAAAATTATACAGTAGGTATACAATAACTAAAATATGTGATGAATAAATTTGATTTAGATCTATTTGTTAAATATTCACCAAAAACTCCGTCATTTTTTTAATATAACTTCTGTAAGACATAAGTTCTCATTTTTCAGGCTATTTAAAAAAATATCTCTAATGTTCAATATAATTCAATATATCAAATCAGTTTCTGAATTAATATTTTGAGATAATTTAGTCCAAATGTTCAAAGCAGTCATTCTTATTGAGTTTTTCCTTTCCGATTCTCTGACTTGGCGTCACGTCAAAATACAATTTTGATTTATAGCTCATTACAAAGAGGATGAGGGAGTGGGGTAGCTCAGCGGTAGAGTACAGACTGAGCTTCCAATGCTAAAGGTCCCAGGTTCGAAAATTGCCGGCTCATGGCAGAAAATTTATTTATCTGTGTAATTAGCCGTAGGGCGACCCTGGGTCGGGAGACCCTCTTGGGGCACACCCAGCCTCTATAAAGTGGGTACTATAAATAATTAATTAAGGGGGGAAACCTGGCGGTTTAGTGTAATCTCAGTCAAATAACCGCCTTGCACAACCGTTAATCTAGAAACAATGCTTACTCTAAATAGTACTGAACCCAAGACCCTTCATGGGTTGTAGTGGTACAGGTTACAAAGAGGAAGAAATGCTGAACATTTCCTTCGCTTACAGTTTGCAAGTCCAGATTTTTTAGTTTGTGAGATATTGTAATCCATATCTTTAATAAACTCGTTATCATTTGGTTGTTGACACCATCTTTTTCTTTTTTCAGCCTCTCTAACAAGGCGTCATATTAATATACAAATTTGAGTCTATTTAATAAATAAAATATTCAGAAATTTATAACAGTCTAGATGAAAAATGACCGTTCAACCAGCATTAAATAGAATTTTTTAAAAATATGAGTCAAACGATAATTACCTTCCTATCCGCTATATACAAAGCTTCAGCAAGTTTGGCAAAGTTCTCATTTATATGAACTTGTTGAAGTCCTCTTCCATCTGCAGCAAGCCTTTTGTCTAAAGGTATTGTATACCCCTAAAATATTAAAGAACTTAATAAATTATGTTTAGGAAACTAAATCGCATTTCTACTTTAGTAAACAATTACCTTAGCGTTTTTCCAATTTGAAATACAAGGAGGTATTTTCCATTCTTTCTGCTCCTTAACAGTAACCTACAACAAATATCTAATTTAAACAAATAAAATTTCTGGTTGAAAAATAATTAATGATTAAGTAGGTTCAAAAATAAAATAATTAGTAATAATTGACTTAATATCAGGCTTTTTCTTTTTTGAAAGGCATATTAACACATATTCGTCCAATAATTTTGTGCAGCACCATTCATACAATGCTGGCATCTCTTTACCTCTGTTAGATAAAAATTAGAATTTAATACATACCTCTCAATGTTGATGTAAAAGAAATAAATAGATGAAGTAAAACTATTAGGATCTAATAACTGTTGTTATTATTAGAATTTAATTCATTTAGCATTAAAAGAACAAGAATATTTTTTTTTAATATACAAATGATGAAATTTTCATCATTTGGCTACTGGTGATTGTTTGCGAAATGACGAATTTTCTTCATGCGGACGAATATGATTTAATATGGATTATGAACAGAACCAAAATACAAAACAAATCACAGTACAAATTGTAAAAACTTGCATCTAAGAAACAACAATCACTCATCATATGTTTACTTTCTACAACTGAATAAAGCAAATTAAGAAAACTTTCTCTTATGATATAATAAATCTCAGTTTTGGTCTCGATTATAAATATAACTGATTCAGGTGGGAATCAAACCAAAAACATTCAAAGCACACCACTATGGGACCCTTGCCTAAACAAGCACCATCATCATGCCTTCTAGCTGAGGAAGTAAAACGAGGATTTTCTCAATTAACAGTACAGAAAGTAAGATTTCCATTTATCAGATATATGCAGTTTTAATTACTATGGGACATTTAACTCGTTATAATTCCCCCGTCCTCTCCTCCGGCCCGGGAAAAAACCCTGTGTAGCCTAAAAAGGCAAGGAAGGGAGACAAAAAAAAATTCATTAAATTTATTTGAGACATGGTAAAAGAAAATACTTGCTTTTCTAGTTGGGGAATGAAGCACAGGAGCTGGAGGTGATGGGGGTCCTCTTGGTATTTTCTTATTGATCCTGTAAAAATGAAAACAAAATGTAAAATATATATATTGAAGGAAGTTAGTTGACTGGTCTATTTATCACCAGTTATACATGTATACATACATTTACTTATTTATTTTTAGTTATATTTGTAAGTTACATAATACTAAGAAACATTCCATGAGAGAGTTAAATAAAAATAAAATAAATTAACTATAAAAAAAAAAGTCTGCCCAGTTACCTATATTTTAAGGTCTATAATTTTTCATTGGAAAATCGAATATTTAGGAGGTAATTAATAAGTAGTTAATACATAAGCTTTCACTTGTGAAATGGATGGAACAAACTTCTATGAACAAGATTAATTTTTTGTTTGTTTGATGTTAACGAAACTGAAATTTTCCAACAGTCAGACCAAAAACTAAATTAAGGAGAAATATACATGTAACATACGAGAGAACTTTAAAAATTACACAAAGAGAAGAAAATTACATACATTTAAAATACAACTATTTCAAAAATCTGTGGAATATGACAGCTTACTACTTTGAGGTTTAAGAGGAAAGTTTCTGCAGTTTTTCTTTTTATTAAATTATTTTAATGAAAACTATTGCTGCCCACAAATTATAATTTGTAGGCATAAAACTCAACTTGTTTAGCACTATTAAAACAATGCTATTATATGAAACTTCTTCTTTGAACTTCCCTCAAATAGTGAAGTTCAGGATTGAGGATCTAAACTCGATGATCTTTCTGAGATCCTCTAGACCACCGTAGGTAGAACTTCATCACCAAAACAGTGGGGTTTGGTCAAATTAGCTTTCAGATGTCCTCCACCTAAGAACATGTATGAAAGATATGCTCTATATTCTGGTAGCCTGTTCTACAGCTACAGAGATTAAAATTTAAATTTAAATTTTAAACTTTAAATTTTTCATAGAGGTGTGCTCTCATTCTGTAGTGTCCTGTTCTGAGTCTAAAGAGTAAAACTTGCTCTTTCCTGCTCAACCCATAATAATCATCTTCAGGATTGTAATGTGGATGACCACCATTCCACCTTTGTAGTGTAGTAGCCTTATTTGTAGAAATGGCGTCCTGAAGAGTTTGAGTGCAGCTCCTTTCTTTACCAGTTGGTCGGCTACTTCATTTCCTTTTAGTTCACAGTAACCTGATATTGATTGGAGTACTACTTTTTTGAACTGGAGTTGCAGTTTTTCTATTTCTCCTGCTAGGGTCTGGAGTCTATAATTACATTTGGAATTGAGGTACTGAAGTACCGATGTCGCATCGATAAAAATACAATATTGGAGTTTAGTTTCCGTTTTAGTCGCCTCATTATTCTGCTGCACTCACTCTACTATAGCTCCTTGTTCAGCTTTGAAATTTGTACATATGAAACTTATATTGTTGTGAGTTGAAAATCATCAGTCAAAGAAACAAAATGGTACCAATGATTAGGTTTAACAGTAACTTAATTAACAACCAAAACCATCTATGAACAAATTCTATTTTGATATTTACACATCTGGTATATTTTATTTAACAATTACAGAAATTTTGGATCAGCGAAATTGCAGTAATATGATATTTTAATATGTACAGCAAAAACATAAATTCTGATAAATTATTAATACGACAAATTTCGACACTGATGTCTGAGTAAAGTAATAAACTTGTCTAGACCAAACATGTGTTTCAATAAATCCATAAATGAACTAAATACCAGACCTTTATAAGTATCATGAACTCATTTACTTAAGAAGCAAATTTCGGCAGTTCTGTATTGTAGCAAGATCTTTTTCCAGCAGCCAATGTTGTTTTAATTTCAACCATTTGTGGATATAATAGCTAGAATTAGTTCAAATTTCATCTTTTACAGGAAGCAAGAAACTTTTTGTTTTTTTCAGTCAGTAGGTATTTCATATTTTGCTTTCTGGATTATTTTATACAACATAATTAGAATGAGTAAATACAAAATAAAAGTTTCTCCTGTTAGATATGAAATACATTTAAAATACTGATTATATGATAATTATTACAGTAAAGTTTTTTGTTTTGCTCCTTTATTTTATTTTATTATTTGCAGTAGTAATCAAATTTTCTTAAGAGATTCAGTAAATATAAAACAATAAAATTCACTATTAAAAATAAAACAATTGTTTACTTGAATTTAGGTGGCTCTAAAGGGTCTTTCTGTGCTTCAACCATTCTTATAACTCTTTGCTTAGCACCTGAGTTAAAAGAACTACCCTGTTGCGCTGGTGTGTACCGAATGAACTGAGCTGGTGCCTGTAAAACATTTAAAATAATTATTAGAGAATATGATACATAATCAGTTATCTACACAGATATGATAATTTTAAATACCGTTTTCTCAGCACATCGAACTGGCATTGCAGAGGATATTTTAGAACTAGTAAGTTTTTCTAAAGCTAATCTTGTTCGGTCAGTTGTTTCCAGGATTGTTTCTTCATCAGGTTTTTGTAAAGTTGGATCGCTTTCTGATCTTATTTCTGATGGAAGTAGATCTGTTAACTTTGAATAAATAACCTGCAACAAGAAAAAAACAGTAAAAAAAAAAGGAAAAGGAAAAACAGTTTTTAAGAATTGATTTTAAAATGGAAATAAAAAAGCTATACCTTATCTTTGGAATGACCTTGACGAGCAATTGCATCATATTTAATCTTTCCCTCAGCATCAAGTTGCACAGCCAAAGCATTAGAAGAACTTTCACGTTTTTCTAAGCCCATATTCAAAGGATACTGGGCAACTGCTATTTCAGGAAATGCTCCACCATCTCCATAATCCTATAATATCAAAAATATAGTATTTATAAACAAATATCATAAAATGCTTTTTTATTAATGTGATATGTGTATATATATATATATATATATATATATATATATATTATATATATATATATATATATATATATATATATATATATATTTGTAAGATGTAATTAAAATACATAAGAGTTGATATATAGATATTAATGTAAATATTAACAAAAACTTTATTTTAAAAAAAATTCTATTCTATCCTTAACTTAAGCAACTAAGTTGCATAAGGTATTTACTTATGCAGTATTTATTTAAAGTGCTCTGAACCTAAGATCCTCATGGGTTGTAGTGATACAGATTTTTTTTTTTAAAGATGATAATAATTTTGTAATCAGGAAGTTTTTGCTTTTCAATTTACAATTGAAGGCACAAGTTAATAAAGGTGGAAGTTACATTTTTAGAGTTTGGAGAAAACTAATTTTAAATTATAATTATCCACTATGAGGGAGGGTACATATATCGTTACTTGGCATCTTTATCAACACCGTTTCGAGCCAACCATTGTTAAAATTATGTAAATAGAATAAGTAAATACTAAAATATATCTTAGAAGAAGGAGATGGTCTGGGGTGATGGTCATAAATAGACTAAAACAGTGGAAAAATTATTTCATTTCAAGCCTACGTTTTTACAACTGTTGTACATCCCTTTATGTCCATTATTTCATATTATTTATCCTTTCAATTCCAAGATTTTGACAATCATAAGTCAAATTTTCATTATTAAATTGAAGGACGGGTACTAGTTCACAAGAGTTCCGCACGGATTACGCGTGGTTCACAATCATTTCGATCACACTTGTTCATGGAATCCCGAAAACAGCCGAACGTTGCCGTATTTTCTGACGTCAGCTATTGCTCTATCATACAATTCCTTTTCATGCATTTAAAAAAAAAAAGAACGTATCATCTTCATGGAACTTCCTTATTAAAAATTTATTAACCAATTGTGTATTTCCTAATTACTTAATTATTAATTTTTATTATAACGGTTATCACTGTGAAAGAAAAAGAAAAAAATACATAAAATAATGTTTCAGTCCTTTCTTCAAGGTCTGATAAAAAAAAAAAAAATGCTTTTAGTAATAACATTCAATATTACAAAAAAAAAAAGTGTTTATTTTCGAGAAAGGAATAAACGTATTGGGGAAACAACTGGCGAAGAATTTCTGATAATTCCGAGATAATGAATAATGGAAATCATTAATAAGAAAAATAATATCGTGAAATAGCATTCAGAGATGTAATAATTAAAAATTGTATCTATTACTATTTATTTTTTACAGATCTATAATATCTGTACAAGTTCAATTCAGATTTCATGATGTAGCCTAAATTTCGAATGTAAGTTGGCTCTTTCTATAAAACTGAACATGGTTAAGTTTATAGAAGTATTTAAATGTCGAGAAAGTTAATAGATAACTGGCCCAAGAGATCGGTCGCCTTCGTTCTCTTTCGGATAAACCCGAACGCATTCGGGATTCCATGAACAAGTGTGACCAAAGTGATTGTGAACCATGCGTAATCCGTGCGGAACTGTTGTGAACTAGTACCGAAGAACGCATTAAAAAAATAAAACTTCAAATACTATTTCAATATTATGATATAACATAAAATGGCCTTATTTTATTTGTCAAATGTAATAAACTCTTAAAAATAGTAAGATTATCACAAATCATTAGTTTAACTGAACCATTCAGTTCATATATGATTTGAGGACAGAAATGTGGCTTATCACTGACAGAATGTTGGACATGAAAATGAGCTACATATTGGCCTGAATTGTTTAAAAAATTAATATATGGAAATTATGTCTGAAGGAGTATTCAGTACAACTTAAATCACATACGTAAAGTTGATAATTTATAGACTATACAAACAGTAGAATACATCCTTATGCTATACAATGGAATAAAGTATATAAATCTTGATTGATGTATACTATCTATTAGTAGATAATTTGCAATAACTTGTAAAAAAATGTCAGTATTATAGTACTTCTATTATACCAAGAGTTTAATGTAAACACAATAACGCAACACAGACTGTTTACATGAAGTCCTGAGGAAATATCTATAATAATTTAAAATAATCAAGGTCACTTATTTTCAAACAATCAACCTGATAACTTTAATATCCTTCAATACTTTAAGGAGTTTATAAATCCTTATCTGCAATATCACATCGTTTACACTGTACATGAAATCCTAAAATTACCCATCTTTATCACTTGTGGACATGGGTCTACCAAGATCGATTGTCTCTGTCTATTTTAGGACACCTTCCACAACTGTTTGAAAAGCATCTACAGTGTGGTCATGTGATTTTTTATCCACCCAAGACATTTGTGAAATAATAGCAACTTCTTCTTGAAGTCTGCTAATTTTAATCATAAAATCAATACAATAAAAATACATACCTCAGGAGAACGAGGAATCCATCCTTTTCTCTGGCCATAAGGAGGTGCAGCAGGAGTTGCAACTACTAGAGCAGAAGGAGGAGGTGGCCATTTCGGATCGTCTTCCCGTTCCCAAACAGGTTGGGTAGGAGGCGGCAATAATCTACAACATAATTAGAATTATTTAAACTGAGAACTGTTGAGCACTAGAAATCTTCAAAATAACTTAGTGCTACAAGATTTGGAAATAGGTAATTTCGCAAACCCTTAATCATATGGCACTTTATCAGAATCATCTATTTAACAGACAATTAGCATGAACATGAAATTATAATATTGAACTGTGTCTAAAAAATTAAAGAAAATGTAATAAAAGCTATAAGGATATGTTTTCAAACTGATGAAAATATTAAAGAGATGCCACAATTAATTTGTTAAAAAAATAAACATCATCGACAATACTTATAACAACACAGAACTGATAATCGAAAAAAAGTAAAAAACATTTATAACATGAGTTTCCAACTTTTTTAACAAGCAAACAAATCAAAACACAGATACAAATAGTAAAATTAATCGTAGAAAATAACATACGACCTAATAAAAAAACATTCAAAATCATTATTACTAAAGTTTAGTTAAATATTACTTACGAAGACAATGACATGGTAATAACTTGAAGAAAAGTTTATAACCAATAAATACCAACACCTATCCAACTGACAATTACAAATAACCAAACTTCCACAGTACCGTACGGTGGATCCACAATGTAGCAGTGTTATCAACAGAACAAAGAAAAATAATCGAATAGCTGAAATGTATAAGAAATATTTGTAATAAGATAATTTATAGATGAAAATTTATCATATTAATACTACAATGAAATGTTCTGAATTCTTAAAAATTCATATGTTCGTAAGTGTATTAAACTATAATAACATTTCTGTGAAGGGGTAATAATTCAATGGCAGTAGTGGATCTAGGATTTAATTTTGGGAGATTTTTAGAGAGATTTTATAATATATATTTTTTTAAATAAGACATGGTTATGTTTCCATTTTGAGAGAGCTTCAATCCTAACCACCCCTCCCCCGTAGATCCACGTGCGCTCAATATATATATATATATGTATATATATATATATATTATATATATATATATATATATATATATATATATATATATATATATATATATATATATATATATATATATATTTAGGGTTGTTACGATGTTAATCTAGTTACGATATCGTTTATCGATATCAAACTTTTCTATTGAATTATATTTTCTAGGGTTTTTCAAAAAAGTCATGTTTTATTCACCAATCTCTCTAAAGCAATGGAGAACAATTGGCATTTCTGTCACTTATTTGGCATCAAAGACTTTCCTTTAAGATAGCAACCAATTTGCAGGAAATATCGATTTGTCCCATTGCAGCAAAAGTATAGAAAAGATAAATCTCTCATAAATAGTAACTGCATTTGGTATTGTTTGAAGAGCCTTGTGAAGCTACAAAAAAACTGTCCCTGATCAATGGCATAAGAGATTGGGACAGGTACAAGAACCATTTGGACACTGCTCTCTCTGTTCCTCTATCCATTAAAAACGAAGAAGAACTTGAGGATGCCGTTGAATACTTCACACGAAATATTCAAGAAGCAGTATGGTCTTCATCAGCAGCAAAACCTCAAAAATCTGAGTTGCTACCAATGTACCCACAATACATAAGGAACTTGATTAGAGTGAAGAGGAGAGCTCGCAAAATATGGCAGACTGACAGACTCCTATCAGATAAACGAACTTACAACAGACTTAATAAAGAACTCAAGCGACAGATTGGAAAATTCTAACGAACAACCTATGACAGCTACATCTGAAATCTCTCAACCGACGATGGAAGCTTGTGGAGACACACCAAAAACCGTATTAAGCATCGTGAAGTGTCAGCACCCCTTCGAAGAGAAGATGATTCCTGGGCCGTGACGGACGGAAAAAAATCGGAACTCTTTGCCGAGTATCTTTCTTCTGTTTTTGTACCACACACAGACTTCACTAACACTGTGCACGATAACAATGTACTAAATATTTTAGACGTACCTTTACAACTAACTTCACCTCCTATTTCATTCACACCTTCCCAGATTGCTGAACAAATCAAAAAGTTGGCTAAAAGAAAAGCTCCTGGACATAACTTGATTAATGCTGAAGTGCTCCAACAAATGCCTAGAAAAGCTCTAGTGCTTTTGACAACTATTTATAATGCAATACTGAGGACAACTAAATTTCCACTACAGTGGAAATACTCACATATAATAATGATTGGCAAGCCTAACAAGGACAAAAACTCACCTTCCTCATACCGGCCAATCAGCAAAAGACTTGTTGATATACTAACAAACACCCAAATAATACCTGACCATCAATTTGAATTTAGGGCACATCACTCAACTGTACATCAATTACATAGAGTAACGGACTACATATCTACAGCACTAGAGCAAAAAGTATATGCAACTGGCGTATTTCTGGATGTTGCTCAAGCGTTTGACAGAGTTTGGCACCAGGGTCTTCTCTTTAAACTCAAGACAATACTCCCACCTATATATTATCTAATTTTACAATCCTTCCTTTTCGATAGATTTTTCTCGGTCCGTCACGGGTCAGAGTTATCTTCCATCAGGTCTATCTCAGCAGGAGTATCTCAAGGTTCAGTACTCGTTCCACTACTCTATGTCACATACACCCATGACATACCTTGCAGTCCCAACATTTTAACAGCGATATATGCAGACGACACAGCAATTTTAGCAAGACACAAAAATCCAATATACACCTCACATACCCTACAATAGTATATAACACGATTACATGACTGGTTCAAAATTTGGAAAATCCGACTAAATCGAGACAAATCACAGCACATTACATTTACGCTTCGACATGAAACATGCCCTCCAGTTTTCCTTGACAACACACAGATTCCACAGACAGACACCGTTCACTACCTTGGTCTGACATTTGACAGAAAAATGACGTGGGATCCACATATAATAAAGAAACGAAAAACGCTAAATCAAAGGTTAAGAATTCTGAGTTCACTTCTTTCGAAAAATTAAAAACTAAAACTTAGACAGAAATTGAACACGTACAATTACTTACTAAAACCTATTTGGACTAAGCATCACAGATATTTGGAACTGCTAAAAAGACTCACTTAAACAAACTTCAAATCTTTCAAGCAAAAACATTCAGAACAATTACAAAAGCACCTTGGTACGTTAGCAACATAACTTTACATACTGACCTCCATATGCCGACTGTTAACGAACACATACGAACTCATCACAAACGATTCCATGACAACTTACTAGGACATCCTAATACACTTATAAATGACATGGCCACTACGAATATGCCAGGTAACGTCTGTAGGAGACTGAAGAGGAGCTGGATGAGGGACCTCCTCGCCTAATGTAGATATCACGCCGAGTGAGGTGCCGCTGGGCACTGATCCACCTCATGCCTTTCATGACATTATATTTTGCAATCGACCTCACATTCACTGATTGTCATTACCATTATGACAGTGTGAATAAAAAAATTAAAGCTAAAACAAAAAAAGTTAGTAAGTTGCACATTACTGTTTATTTCGCTATAAGGATTCGATAATACGACAACGAACTACCCATGGGCGCGCGCTCCCCTCTCCCTCTCCCTCTGGGATTTGGAAAAAAGTTCCAAATTCAATGAGAAATGTGGAGCAAATGTATCCTCATAGACGAATTTCGTAGTGGGCGGGGTAGCCGAATGGGCTAAGGCGTGTGCACTGCACCGCCGTTGCACGGCAACCTGATATCTGGACAAATGATATAAAAATAGCCACCAGTTCGCGTCCCGGTGCCGAGGGAGTCTTTTAAATCCCCGCCCACACTCCCTGGCCCGGGAAAACCCCGTATAGCCTTAACGGCGAGGAAGGGAAGGACAAAAAAAAAAAAAAAAAACGAATTTACGAATTTCGTAACGTAATATATAAAAATAAGTTAAGTTATTATCCACCAAACCTTCAAATTCCCCTCGCATACAATCCTTACAATCCAAAATCCTTCGTAAAATCCTCAATGCTCCTTACTTTGTTACAAATAAAATTATCCATAATGACCTTAATGTTCCTTATGTATCAGATTTGGCCCAATCCAGATATCTGTCCTTCCATGATAAAATTCATAACCATCCCAACCCTCTTGTCTCTAACCTTGCTTCCTATTCGATTCCTAATAACCCTCCGAGGCGTCTGAAAAGAAGATGGTCATGTGATCTTCTAATATAGACATATTATTAGAGTACTACCAATGGGTAGTTTCTCAACATGTGTTCCATGTCATTATATCCATATGCGAATTTACCAGATGTATTTTTTGTATACATTTGTAAATATCATATAAATAAATAAATAAATAAAAAATGTTATTATCATGACCAGCACTAGCGAATTCTGCCACGGGGGCAGGCCCTACCTTGAATGGTGGGGAAAAAATCCAAAAACACCTATTTAAATAATCCTCTACGACGGATTTTCTAATGTGATATAAAAAAAATATATTATCCTGACCATTACTAGCGAGCGCGCCCCTCTCTCCCCTGGATAGCGGGAGAAAAGTTCCAAAGCTATTTAAAGAAAAGAGAAATATAGGGAGAATTCATCCTCATAGACAAATTTTCTAATGTAATGTTAAACAAAATAATTATCATGACCATTTTTATTAATCTTACGGTTTGTTATATCACCTCAGACGCATAATCAACATATTAACAGAGAATAAAAGTCCAGCTGAACACCAATTCGGATTCCGTTCACTACATTCAACTATACATCAACTTCACAGAGTCACGGACTTCATTTTAATTGCCCTAAAAGAAAGATCATACCCTACTGGCGTATTTCTGGATGTTGCTCAAGCATTCGTCAGAGTCTGGCACGATGTTCTGCTCTAAGGAGAAGACTTAAATCATTTCTTCCTTCTACCTATTACCTCATTCTTCTCTCCTTCCTTCCAAACAGATTTTTCTTTGTCCGACAGGGATCGGAAACTCCTTCCATATATCCAGTAAGGGCCGGAGTACCGCAGGGATCGATTCTTGTACCTTTACTATACATTATATACACAAATGATATACCAACTTACCCTAACATATTAATTGCAACTTATGCAGATGACACTGCTATTCTCACCAGGCATATCGACATCAAACAAGCATCGTTGACTCTACAACATTATTTACAAATATTACAGGAATGGTTTACAAAATGGAAAATTAAACTCAACAGTGATAAATCTCAGTATATCACCTTCACACTCCGACATAACACCTGTACTCCAGTTTATATAAACAATGTCCCCATACAACAGACTAACACAGTTCATTACTTAGGACTTACGTTCGATAGGAGGGAGGACCTGGGGACCACACATTAAAAAAAAGGTCTTACCTTGAATAATATAATCTCACTCACACAAACGTTGTAACTTAAAAATGAGACAAAAACTAAATGCTTATACTTACTTACTAAAACCCATATCGACCTATGCATATCTGTGGAATTGCAAAAAAGACCCAAATTCAAAAAATACAGACTTTCCAATCAAAATATTTATAATCACTCTGGTATGTCAGTAAGAAAACATTATATACAGACTTAAACACACCGATGGTACAAGATCACATGCGGACATCATATAAAAAATTACATCCCAAACTTCACGAACATAACAACACACTTATAAAAGTATGGCCAAATGGCCACGAGACATATGCCCGAAAACAACCGACGAAGACTGAATAGGAGCTTCCTAAGTGATCTCCTGGATTAACGTTTTCTTTTATTTCA